TAACCTAACCTAACCTGGCGTAGCCAGGATTTTTAAATGGAGGGGGCTAACCATGTTTTTTGGATAAGTAAGGTAAGAGAGGATATGAGAATTCACCCTTAACCCGCCCCACCATCTACCACCAAGTTTCTAAACGCATTTTAGTAGTAGTATTTTAGTATAGTTTTAAAAATATTTATTAATATATAATTTATAATAATAATAATAATTTTGATTTCAGTGTTCAGTCACTTGCTCCACTCTGACAGCTGCATTCTCTTAGGCGAATTTCTGGCAAATTCAGTTATTATTTTACTTTCATGGAATTGCTCTTCTTTATTTATATTAGCCATAGCTAATCCATTCAGTCTGTTTTCCGACATGGTGCTTCTTAAAAAAATTTTTAAGCGATTAAGTGCTGAAAACGTCCTTTCCGGAGTGAAAGAGGTAACTGATAACGTGGCGAATAATTGTAAAAGTATTTTAATGTTAGGTCGAAGATTGGTGTAATGAGATAGTGAATCAAGAGCAGAATTCGGTTTTGGAATAGTATTTTGACTCCATTGTTGCCTCCATATGAACAGGTCAGCCCTGATTGTAGATGAGGTATCATTATGGAGATCTTGGACATATATTTTAGCAGCTTTTATAATATTTTTATCGTTATACATATTTAAATTGACCGGAATAAGTCCTTCAAGTGGCATAACATCAATAAGCCTTTGATTAAAACGAGCATTGATTCTATTAAATAGTCAAGATACATTATACATAAAAACACGGCCCATGGGGGAGGCTATAGCTCCCTTAGCCCCCCCCTTGGCTACGCCACTGTTTTTGCATATAATACTAATGTATCTATGGAATCTCGTGATCGGAATCACAAAGATATACTAGATGTATTTGTAAAACAGGATACAAAAATAATAGATGTACTTGTAAAAAAATTAATATTTTATGCAATTCAAATTGGTACGGTATAATAATACAATAAATTGTGAATATAAATAGTTTTGTATAATTATTACGAACCTAATTTTAATATTTCGCTAAACAAAAATATCTTCATTACATATCAGTATTAAATATTAATAATATTAGGTAATTTCCTATTCATAGTTGTAAATGTTCCAACAAAATATCCGATTTTTACAACATTCCCTATGTTGTCAATTAATGCCTAAGCATTGATGATATCATCTATTAATGTTAAGCTTTTAAAATACTAGCTAAGCATTTTTTTTATTCCTAATTTACATCTTTTACGATAACATATATAATATATATGTACTCAGTATATATTAAATATTAATTGTTGTGTATTATTTTATTTCAACTATTTTGCACGGGGCCCCGCAATTTGTAGTGCCGGTCCTGCATCTAGACTTTTCTTTATATAAGAGTAAAATCCAATTATAGTTTTAAATTGTGTGCTATCGTATTTTAAATGATAATAGTGATTAATAAGTTTTACAATTCTTATACATCATACTTTTGATTTCGAGTGGGTATATTAAAAAAATTAAAATTTTTGTAGAAAAAAATATTGCTTTTGTCATGTACAATAAATCTCACGAGGCTTAAAAAATTACTTAAGTATAAAATGTTATTTACAGGCACACAATATTAACTAGTAATGTATTGAATTTGTATACAGTTAAAATTTTGTATTAATATAACTTAATCAGAATTTTCAAAAACTTGTAAGTAAAAACAATTTAAATAGTTTTCTTATACAATTTATTAATGTTTAAATGTATGCTTTGATGGTGAAATACACCACATAACTAAAATACATTGATGAAGCAGACTTATACACAAAGATCAATAATAAAAATCAATAAATAAATATAATATAGTATGATATATTACTGTACTATATTATTATAAATTCACATACTTATATATATATATATATATATATATATATATATATATAGTGCCCTAAAAAAATATTATTTAGTACCCGAATGTTTTTCATTTTCAATCATTCGTCTTTCTATTTCGGCGTCCAATGCTTTTTGTTTCCTTCGACCGAGAGGAGTTCTTGAATACCACTGATTAAACGCGTCTTCTTCTTCTTTATAAACAGGATCATGACGAGCAAGTGCATTCAGGATTTCCACGTGCATTAGAGGGCGAATTGTCAACTGTAATACTCTTTTGCACGTCATTACCTGTATTTTTAAACATTTATAAAAAGGTATTAAAAAATATGACTATAGATCTAACATCGTTATAGGCATACTTCTTCTTCTTCTTAGAGTTTATTGGGCCTATAAGACCATCCCGTCTCATAACTATAGGTATACTAGTAAATTTAAAATTTAATCCAACCAACGAACCGATGTATTAAATAATTAAACGTTGATACAACTAGAACTTATTATTGAAAGGATTTAACACTAAAAATTGTCTCTCATTCAATGTTTTAAGAAGAGAATATTTACATTTGAATAGATCCTATTCAGGGTATGTTCGATACTTAAAACATCTGCATGGGCACATTTTATAATTTCTATATAATAATATAGTTATTATTACTACTACTACTAGTACTACTACCAGTGGCGGCGCGAGAGGTTTTTTGAGAAACAATTACAGTCTCACAGTTAAAAGGGGTGGTGGGTGGTGGGTGGTTTTGTTGGTACAGGGGCTAACTGGGCGCCATTGCGCTACTGTGAATTTTCATAGTGGACCGGTGTCATATTATTGTCGCGTCCTGCGTAGTCACACAATAAAACACAACACGGTTAAATTAATACCAAAAAGTACGGGAGAAGATGATGTTTATCAGTTTATTCAGGCATGTGATTTAGCTATAGAGTCAGTAGAAAAGAAAAATGTACCGATTTTAATAAAATATATAACAACTAGATTAAATGGTAGGGCTTTAGAAGCAATTAAATATAAAGATACAACTAAATGGAAAAACATAAAAAAATATTTAACCGATACGTTTGAGGCACAACATTCCGCTTCAGCTTTACAAATAGAATTAAATTCTATTAAAATGCTTCAAGGGGAAGACGTAAATACTTATACAAATCGCGTAGAAAAATTATTTTATAAGTTAAGTGATATGAGCACTGCAAATAAAGATGAAAAAGAGGCTAGAATTATTCACGATATAATAAAAGAACAAACTTTAGTAGTATACATAAAAGGGTTAATAGGTCCGATACGTACCATTGTAAAAGCGAGAAATCCAAGTACGTTGGAGGAAGCTAAACAGTTAGCGCGTTCAGAAGAAATCGAATATAAGTCTAGTTATGAATTTAATCAAAATCCAAATAAAAATCGAAATTTTAATAACCGAAATTTTAATAATAATTCATCTAATGCAAACAATCAGAATAATTTCAGGAAATTTAATAATAATAATAATAATGGACAAAGACCAAATTTCAGAAATAATTTTAATAATCAAAATTTTAGAAGTAACACAAATCCAAATAATAATTTCGCGCGACCAAATTTTAATACTATTAATAATAATAATATAAATCAGCCGCAAAGACCGATAAAATGTTATATTTGCAACGGAAATCATTTCGCTAACCAGTGCACAAATAAACGTAACTTTACGCATAATACTCGACCACCTAATCAGAATAATTTTACACGACCATCTACTAGTTATAATATGAGGTATATATCATGTGAATATTTTAATAATAACGGACATAATATAAATGAATGCTATAAAAAAATGTTTAACAATAGACAGAATAATATTAATAACGATGATAATAACGTAAATTCGGAAAACGCGAGCGAGTCGTGCGCGGTACGCGGTACACGTACGATAAATCATATATCGACCGCGGATCAAACCGAAACTGCTTCCATGTTATATCAATAATGACGGAAAATCATATAATATGCACTTCTGAATTTAGTAATACGAAAACTTAAGAGTTACTTATAGATACGGGTAGCGATGTAAATGTTATAAAAATAAATAAATTAAGAAAGGATTTAATAATAAATGAAAATAATAAATTATATTTAAAAGGAATAAATGAAACAAAAATTGAAACGATAGGAACATTTAGTAACAGGAATTAATAATGATAAATTTAATGTAGAATTTAATGTAGTAAAAGCAGAATTTCCGATACCAAAGGACGGTATATTAGGTCATAGGTTTTTATCTGAGAATAAAGCGATAATTGACATATGTAATAAAACAATGATTATTAAAACGAAAGTGAGATTGCGAATAAAGATAATAATATAGAATATATTTCATTAAATCCGAGAACAGAAACTATTGTAGAATTACCGATATTAGATAAAAGTGTAGAGAATAAAAATATAATTTTGCATAAACAAGAATTTATCAAGGATGTATATTGTAGTAATGTAATAGGGACAGTAAAAAATGATAAAATTGTAGTGAGCATATTAAATATTTCCGAAGATAAGCAAGTAATTAAATTAAATGATTTAAATAAAATAGAGTATGATGAATCATCTGAATATAATATATATAAATTTAATACCGATAATGAAAACCGTAATAATAACAACCGGATACTTCGTATAAAAAAACAGATAAGATCTGACCACATGAACGATGAGGAAAGACAATCCATAGATAAAATTTGCGAACAATATTCTGAAATATTTCATTTAGAGGGAGATAAATTAACTTGTACGAATGCCGCAATGCATGAAATTAAATTAAATGATAACCAAACACCGACCATACAGATTACCACACGCGCACCAAGAAGAAATAGCAAATCAAATTAAACAAATGAATTCAGACGGAATTATCGAACCTTCTCGAAGTCCTTGGAATTCACCACTTTTATTAGTAGCTAAAAAGATAGATGCAACGGGAAAACAAAAGTATAGAATAGTTGTAGATTTTCGAGCCTTAAATAAAGTAACATTAAATGAATTTCATCCACTTCCTAATATCACTGAAATACTAGATCAATTGGGCGAATGTCAATTATTTAGCGTCATAGATTTAACATCGGGATTTTATCAAATACCACTTGTCAAATCATCTCGAGAATTAACAGCATTTTCGACTAATCAAGGTCATTGGCATTTTAAAAGAATGGCAATGGGCATGAAAACGTCACCAGACACATTTCAGAGATTAATGAATAATGTATTATCGGGATTAATCGGAATAAAATGTTTAGTATATTTAGACGACATAATCGTATATGGAAAAGATTTAAGAGATCATAATCATAAATTAATAGAGGTATTCGAACGTTTAAGAGAACATAATTTAAAAATACAACCGGATAAATGCGAATTTTTAACACGAGAATGCGTATACTTAGGTCATGTAATATCAGAACACGGAATTAAACCAGACGAAAGGAAGGTTAAGTTCTAAATTTTCCGGAACCAACTAATGTTAAGGGGATAAAATCATTTTTAGGATTATCAGGTTATTATCGTAAATTCATAGAATCTTATAGTGCAAAGGCAAAACCATTAACAAACTTACTAAAAAAATATACTAAATTCGAATGGACCGAAGATTATCAAAAATCTTTCGATTCACTTAAAAAATCATTATGTTCAGAACTAATTTTAAAATATCCAGATTTTTCAAAACCATTTATTTTAACAACTGATGCAAGTAATAAAGCATTAGGAGCAATTCTATCACAAGGAGAAATAGGAAAAGATTTACCGATAGTTTACGCGTCGCGAACTCTAAGTAAAAGTGAGAATAATTATAGTACCACTGAATTAGAAAGTTTAGCAATAGTATATGGTGTTAAACAATTTCGACCTTATTTATACGGGAGGAAATTTATTATTTTGAGTGATCATAGACCATTAACATGGTTATTTAATTTAAAAGATCCATTATCTAAATTAGCGCGTTGGCGGATACAACTAGAAGAGTACGATTATGAGATTAGATATAAACCGGGTGTACAAAATTCAAATGTAGATGCATTAAGCCGAATGTATAAAATTTCAGAAATTACGGATGACAATTATTCCAATTTTATTGATAAAATGAAAATGCAATTAATTATAAATAGAAAAGTACATGAAACAATAGGAGACTTAATGAACGTACCAGTAGAGTATAATTTAGTGTCGGAAATAGCTAAAAAATATAATTTTAAGAAAGGAATTAATAAAATATTAAAAGAAAAATTTAGTAATAATCAATTATTGCCACCGAGTAAAATGATAGGCGATATTAAATATTTTAAAAACGAAGATAGATATATAATGTACCTAGTAACAAAAAATAGAGATAAACAATTAACCACGCATGAAAATATATATGTGACATTAGTGAACTTGAAACAGTTTTGTGAGGAAAATAATATCAAAAAATTAGCAATGAATAAATTAGGTCAGGCAGATAACCTAGAATGGGAAATAACTAGGTCAATGATACGATACGTATTTCGACAAACCGAAATACAGATATTAATATGCACAGGCGAAGTCGAATATACGGAAGAAGAAAAATTAGATATATTAAAACAATTTCATGATTCAAAATTAGGGGGACATTTGGGAATAAATAAAACAATTAAGAAAATACAAAATCAATTTAGATGGAGAAATATGAAATCAGATGTAAAAAGTTACGTAAAAAAATGTACGTCATGTCAAAAGAATAAAATAACTAATAAACATGTAAAACAACCATTGGCAATTACTTCAACAAGTTCGAGACCGTTTGAAAAAATATTCTTAGATATAGTAGGACCTTTAACAACTACCTTAACAGGTAATACTTACATTTTAACTATGCAAGATGATTTAACTAAATGCTCATTAGGAATACCTATCCGGATCATCAAGCTAATACTGTAGCAGAGGCTTTCGTAGTACATTTTGTATGTGTTCACGGAATACCTGAGATAATATTAACCGATCAAGGTACTGAGTTTCTTAGTAAGACATTTAGTGAAGTCTGCAGATTATTAAAAATCAAATCAACAAAGTAAATACTAGTCCTTTCCATCCACAAACAAACGGAAGTTTAGAAAGATCACATAGAACATTAGCCGAATACTTGAAACATTACGTAAATAAAAATTTAAGTAATTGGGACCATCTTGTCGCGAACCAATTGGTGACACGACACACAATAATAAACTAGAGAGAAACCCGGAAGACTACTACATGAAAGCACACCCTGTGAGCCAGCATTTTCACCAGCTGAAGAAGAGTCAGGCATGAAGACTCTGTTCCGCCTTTTTTCCAGGGATGTATCGATGGCTATATCACCTAACACCAATAATATACCTATTAAGACCGAAATTGTGAAAGGCCCGCTTAACAAAGTTGGAGCTAGATCACTTGGCACATATTACTCGTCCCTTCGGCTAGTGGGGTTCACCCTACCAGCATCCGAAGAAGTATTACCGATAGACAACCATAAAGTGTGGGTCCCATCCCCGCTTATTGAGATCGATAACAGCCCAGTCCGATGCTACGATCTGCCGACTGCAACACCTTTAGGCAATCAGATAGCTGGGCTCTTCAATCTGGATCTGGCGAATTCTATCACCACCCGCGCGTTTGTCCAAATTACAAAAGTCACAGACCAGCAGTCATTGGTTGCCTTGGTAGCCAGAGCACAACAACGTCCCGCCGATTTCTACGACGAAGCACCTTTGGTACGATATTTGCTTCTGTGGATGTCAATGGCCCAGAGGCAAGACTACGCTGCCATCAAAGAACGAGCAGTTACCGAGGTGGCACTAAACTGCAGAACAGGTCCACTCACCCCAATGTGGTCAGGGCACACTTTGCACGCGAATGGGCCCATAAAACCTGGTGTCGGCTACGGAGTCAGCTCAATCACCGTAGTGACCCTGACAGAATACACGGTCTCCTTGACCGGTGACACCGTAGGCCTTACCGAGATGGATGACCCAACAGTCAAAATACCGGTTAAGTCAGCTTGGACTAGAAAAGACTGGCTTGTTCCCTACATACTTAGCTTCACAACAACGGGGTGGTAGAACCACAGTGTGTATATGACATCGAGGTTCATCAACACAACCACCGGACAATACAACACCGCATGGAACGCCAAATTTTTAGCACAAGCATGTCTCCCGGTTCTTGAAGGCAGATACGACAAGATCATGTTGGTGGTGGTAAATAAAACCGGGCCGAATGTCGCCACACAGGACTTTGTGATACCGGGGCCCAACGGTGGGTTAGTTCTACATTACGGTCGCAACAACGAACAGTTCGCCGAACATGTGTATGAATGGTTGGGCATTATAGGCCAAGATGAGGAAGTGCCCGACCGATCGAAAGAGCTCAGTGTAGGTTGGACGCACCTAATAAAGACAATAGCAGTTGATGGCGTTGTGACCAAAGCTGTTTCCACCGTAGCCGAGCTAACCCGAACCAGATGGAACGGATCACTGGTGAAGACGTCTGAAACCATAGCAAACACGGAACACCATGGGATACTGCTTGGTCCGAACGTTCTGAACGAAGCCCCCGCCATTGATATAAACGGGGAGAAGTTACACGATCTCAATGACGACATAGCCACGTGGGGGAACATCAACTCGCGGTTGACGACTCTGACGTGTTGGAGATCCACCCCACTGTGCCAAATGCACAAGTCCGTAATGTACCTGGGAACGGCGATGCTCATCAAGAAAATTACCCGACCGCAGCCGGCTGGTGTGAGAACCTCCCCGAATATACGGTAGCTGAAAGTTACGATGTCAACAGAGTACTAATCGCAAGAGACCTATTCAAGCATTGTGCTAGCATAAGCAAGTACAATTTCAAAAACACATCATCCGTAATGGTTTTCATCTTCGAGACAGCAGCCCTGATAGGAGCAACGGCGAATTGGATGTTTACTTACTATGGCATGTCGATCACAGGTGTGAACGGGCTCTACGATGTAGACACTAATGTCCCTTATCATCAGCACGAGATACTCACGATGGCGACAAACTCCCTGGTTATGTCGACGTACGCCTCAGAATGGCAACCGTATGTGGAGAGAGATCTATTGCATGATCTCAGAGTGGTCGCGGGCGTGAACAACCTTCAATACAACGACTGGATAAGCTTGACATTACCGTGGTGGTTCGTGCAAGCAGTATCAGAAAAAATGGGACTAGTTTACAAAGTCAACCAAAAAGAAAGAGAAGTGTGAACAATACCAGGTCGTGTGGGTAACGGTTGGCATCAGGGGTACCCGATCAACGAGAACTCGATGTGGGCCACTTTGAGCATATTGACATCTGACGATAGGTATATAGAACACAACAGGTACACAGTGTTAGGTAATGGCGACAACGGATACGACCAAAATACGTGGGCAGCGTGGAAAAGTGACTCTGTGATGGACCATTTTGCCCAAGTGCAGACGATGCCAGTCGGAACTCCTGCCGATCGAGGGGTGTTATCCCACGTGAATCTGTTAACATTACCTTACATCCAAGACAACACTAAAAAAGACGAGAAAGGGCCCATCTTTTTTGTTAGCTCCTCCACACCCAATAGAACAACAGATTGGATGCGATGCCAGAATCCACTACGGTATCCTGATCCAATGAGAGATCACCTCATACGAGCAGGGAAAGCCGCAATCCCCGAACTGATGGTCGGCAATGTTCCCGGAGCAATAAAAACCGCTCTTCTCTCGATGGCGGACCCAGCCCTCAACTGGACTTTAAATAAAGTAGCAGACATTTCCGGGCTGGATTTGTTTCGCCCAGGTGGCCCGCCTTAAGCATGAAAGGATCTTGACGTATAATATTTTCTCGGATACTTTAGCATTAGCGACACGCGAATATCTAAGCCCTTACGGGTTTCCGTTTAACAACCTGGATTTTACGAGAAATATTAACGTCAACTACCTGGTCAGGCTGGGCGCTATGCGCTCAGTCACTCGGTTGCCAGGTCTGAAAAAAGCAGTAGAGGCAATACACCATCTTGGGGCCACCGCGGCAACTGATCCGTCTAGTGTACTGAAAAAGAATTACAAAGAAACAACTTTGTTGAAATTGCGACGCTCACGATGCAGCCCTTCATACCTACTGCTGAAAAAACAAAATAAGGATGAAACGCTGTTTGACCCATTTAACCAACCACTGAATTTCCACTACCATTGGATAAATCAGCTAGCCAACGAATCCATCAGGCGAGTGTGTCTGAACGTGTTGAATCTTATCGTTACTACCATCTATACTTTAAGAATCCACGTCCCAGATGATTATAAGCACGATTTTGTGCGACAGTCACTCGCCATCCTGGACAAGCTGAGTTTCCTATGGTCCAACGAAGAGAATACATCAAGTGTGGGGAGTTTGTTACATGGTTTAAGCAACGTCGGCGGTCCACGAGGGTGGGAAGAGAAAAATTTGATTGCGAACTGCACCGAGTGGGTGCAAGGCGAGACACAGCTCGGCAAGGATGAACATGCCAAGGCTTTTATGAGTGAAAAAATGACAGAATGGATTACAAGCTGGGTTAACCAGTCAACTTCAGACAAGTTGACGTTTGAAGAGTTTGTGACAGATCCAATGAAGTGGGGTACATCCGGAGGAGCTCCCGCGAAAACGATCGCCAGTTCCCAGGGCCATGACAAGATCAGATCCAAGTGGGCGTGGGCATTGGCGAACCTGTCTGAGGGAAAAGACATATATAAAGAAGCGATGGCTGAGAACCAAATCTGCTCAGTGGCTTTGAAAGAGGAGAGTAAGACGCGCCTTGTGATCACAACCCCCATGAGCGCGTACCTCAGACAATCATATATTTGGTAAAGGTTCGGCAAGCCACAATTCCTGAAATCCACTTTGACGGACAGCAAGCTGTTGAACGATTTGGCATCTATGACGCAAGACCAATATGTGTGTATCGATTCGAGCAAATTTGACTACAACGTACCGGACTGGTTCTTCTACGAATTCTATGACAAGCTGGAGACGGCGTGCGTGTCTCGGATGGAGTCCAGACCCGATATCGCGGATATACTGCCATTGATTAAGGATGAAGTCAGGTTGTTCGTCAACTTTTGGTACGTTCGCATCGCCACTCTAACGCACATCACCCCACGTACGACATCGAAGAACTACGACTTTCGCTGTCATATTGATTGGCTTATTTTATTATTATTATTCTCGTGCGTTCTCGACGAGACTATTGTGATTATTATTATTCGTGCGATCGTTTTCGTAAAATATACGGCTCCTTAGCCATTACCATCACACTTCTATCATGTCAGTGATTATTATTATTATTATTGTGTGTCGTGTCACCAATTGGTTCGCGACAAATACTTGGGTAGTGCTTAGTGGGGTAGAAGGGGGGGGGTTCGGAGTGGAGTTGTTTAGAACTCCAGTTCCGCCTCGAATTCCGCGGCCGTAGGTACGGATGGTCCCTCGGCATAGAGGACTCCGTCCGAGAGTGTGTCCTCGGCCGGTTTAGTCCCCTTTGCGTTGGGTTGGTCGACGTGGTCGTCGACCTCCATCGCTGTCCCTTGGCCCGGTTCGTGGCGGTCTTGGGACGGGGGTAGCGGTGCGGGTGTCTTCCGAAGGCGGAACTGTTGGCTTCCGCCGTCGGTTGCTGCTGCCTTCCGCTCCCTTTGTTCTCGCCTTTTCCTCCTCACGAACTCCTTCCGTCGGAATATTTAGCTTATTAAAAATAATTCATATAAAATAATCATATATATATATATATATTATGAATGTAATATGTATAATAGTATAAGTACTTAATATAGTACTAACGTACTACATAGATAAATCGTCCATTTATCAAATAATATATTGTATAATATAGGAATTAATTAACTATACAATTATTGTGAGTTATATATAAATATATTATGTTTATACTGGATAAAAATCGCCACCGCCACCGCGGCAGTGTGTGAGTGCAGTGGGGCCTTTAACGCAGTCAGGCCGAGTGACGGACTAGCGATAGCTAACCTGTATTTCTTAAACCGTGTTTACTACCATTGATTAAATATATTTAATCAACGCTACTACTAATACTATTATTATTTATTACTTGAGGTCTAACCAAACCTAACCATATCAATACCTTACCTCCTGAAGGACTTTGATTATAGTTCCTATGCTATAACCATCGGATAATTTTGCCAACGAACTAATATCAAATTTCCTGCTGAGACCACTGTACTGAAATAATAGATCGTTCCATATGTGGTAGAGGCTAGCATAGTCTGGACGAGGTATAACAATTATTTTTCCATACGTGCTGGTCAATGATTTTTGATCGCAATCCCATGGACAGCATGAAATTCCGAGCAATAATATCTGAAACACGTGATTTGGTCGGACATATTATAAGTAATATACTCGTATTATAAAAAAATATCGTGAATATTCTCAATATAATGTTGTATCGTACTCTATCAGTCGGAGCGATAGCTTTGACGAGCTTGGGTAAGTCTTTTTTCAACCTTTTCGGATCAGTTTTATCGGTTTTCGGTACTTTTTTCATAAATGTCTTTTCCGCGTCTTCGATAAATATCACCGACGGCTGCAGCAATCTGCAAATAAAGAATACAATTTTAACAATAACTATAAATAGGGCATTTAACACTGCTGAGTCATAATAGCTCATTAGCTTACTCTTGAGAATCGCTTGTCAGTGAAATCAGAATTTAATATTCGATATAATAAAGTTTAGTCGAGTTTTTCGATGTAGTAAAGTTGACACCCCTATACAGAGGAGGTGGACAGAATGTCTTTAAATGCATATATATTATATATTATTTAGCAAACGCTACCCCAAATGCAATTGAATGGTTATGGAACCTAGATTTCAATATATGATTATTGTATGCTGTTTGTAATCTGTAATTTATAATCTGTATTCCAATATCTTTACTGCTCTTCGCTAATTATGTATTAACTTTTGTTTTGTATTTTAGGCCATATGAATAATAATAATGGATTCGGGAAGGATAAACTATTATTTACATCCACGTACTTTTATTCTGTAAATAAGCATATATCTATATACGTAGAGTAGTAGTTACCAGGAGATAATGTGTAGCCAGGGGCGTAATAAGTAACACCGAATTCAGGGTTTAAGTCCAGACGATATTTTAGGGGGGTGGGTGGTTTCGTGTTGGATTAGTATACGAATAATAAGTGAATTAACCTAATAAATTATAATACTGTCCATTTAATAATTAATATTTAAGATATTTAATACTTAAATGCTATGAAAAATACTAAAATAGGTTAAACATTTTTTGGAGGTGATAAACTCCCAACCACTTAAAGTATGTCCATGGTTGGAGTGGGCTGTAAGTTGTAAATTGGGTTGCTATTGAATAAACCTTTTAAAATTTTGTTCGGCGTCAGTGAGCGTGTTTAGATTTCGGAGGTTTGGGGAATTTCCTCAATATAAAATTTCACAATACAACCAATTCAAAACAAAAATTTGAATTTTAGTAAACAATTATAATTTTTATTGTATAATCATATATATTTTTTACAAAATTTATGAAATAAAATAAAATACCTGCATAGTTATAATTATAATTTAAAAAATGACTAATAGAAAATTAACATAATATTTTATTAATTTTAATAATTAATAATAAATTTAAATTTAATCGTTACGATCAAAATGTTCGGATATATAAATAGGTACACTACAAAACATGAAAATTTGAAACTAATAATTCATAAAACAATAATGAGCTTCTTCATTTTATATTTTATACGGTAAAAGCGGATTTAGAATTTTTTTCTGAAATTTCGAATAGAGCTGAAGCCTTCAGCACCCCTTCATAAATACAGCCCTGTATGTAATAGTGTATAGTACCTGGCAACTTTGTTGACCAGATGAAGTAACATGGTCAGTCCCGATTTACCGGGATACTTGCCCACGATGTTAGCGGACGTGAGATCGAACAGCGTGGCGCCCAACTCACTGCACACGGCGTTGACCAGCATGTGCTTGCCGGACCCATGGACACCGGCAATCAGCACTGAGCGCACGACTGGGCTTGCCTGGTGTATTTCGTTACTTAGCATCGGCAGCACGCAGCTATCTCGAACAGCTTGCCGGACGTCGCCTAGCGTTGGGCTCGGGTCCTTGTCCCATCGCATCACGTCACAGCCAGCGTACGACGTGTCCCCCTTAAACGACCGCAGGCTCACAGACGGATACTTGTGCACGATGCCGTTCATAACCAGTTCCTCGAAAAGCGATTCCAACTATATAAAATACGGTTTCTGAAGTGAACGGTCGTGGGTTATAATATTATACGAATACAAGGTAAATTTTAAAAATTCTTAATCATTTTGGTGCTTAAATTATGCAATTTTTCAAATTCTGATTTAGAAAAATGTATGTCTCCAATAAAACATATTCATAATATCATAAATTAAGAATAATTTTATTATATGGTCAATGTAATTATGTCAAGTCCCAGTGGTGATTGTACATGAAGTTCAAGGGAGGGTGAGGCAAAAAAAAAGCCAATATATACTTATTATACACATATAATATAAAATAAACATGGATTACAGGTGTAAATGTATAATAATGTTTGTATATTATTAAAATTAACACATTTTAAAATTAAAATATAAAAAAAAGATATAAATGTATTAACTTATGACATTTCTTTAAAACTTTTATTCAAACTTCGATCAATAAAAGTAATATTTCTAAAAATTGTGCATCTCTCAAATTATATTACTGCATATCATAGATATTTTAAACTGATATTTTCAACTTTATACGTAGTGTAAAGTTAAACATTATCTAATTTTATATGGATTATGACATTTTAAAATTTAATTAGTTTTGTCTATACATAATCACAAATTTTCCCACTATGGGTCAGCTAAAATAGGGTTTCCATACGTCCCAGAAAACCAGGATTGTCACTGGTTTTGGACTTCGTGTCCCGGTGTCTCGAAAAATGTTTTCGGGACGTCCATACGGGACAGCTTAGGCTGGACGCACACTTAAAGAGAAAAACTGCTCCGAGCAGCTCGGATCAGCTCGGAGCTGTTTGGACATAATTAGAACACGTGTAAAGTAATTAAGGTTATTAGTCAACATCAACACATAACAAGACAAAACAAAACATATTCGGTCTTGATCCGCCCGGTTCTATTTTTGCTCCGTTCAAAATACGAAAACCAAAGTCACTTGTTTTTTTTACGACTAGTAAACTACCGAATACCATGTGAACACGTTATTTTAATACAAAAATTATATCATATTAATTTAAAATGGCTTGCGATCCAGAAAAATAAATAAATGTAATATTTTTAAGAAAATCTATTTATGATTATTGTGATAAAGATCATAGCAATAGATTGATTCAAGATAGATTATGGAATGAAATAAGCAATGAAATGGAAACATCAGGTTAGTAATAATATAGTAATAATATAAAAACAAAATAGTTTAGATAAAATAATTTAAAGAAAGTTTATAAAACTTTAAAATTTTATACACTGTACATATTTTGCCACGGGATTGAACCAATGTCTAAATTGAAATAACTCATGAATTTCTCTCGAATATCCATTGCTGCAGTAGATGCCTTATTATTAATTGGACTTGATGTAATTTGTCTTGTTGTTTGGGTTGTTTCAAATTGAAATTCATCATGAATTTCGAATAAAACTCCTTCTCTATCCATTATCATGTTATACAGGAGACAACAAGTATTTACGATAGTAGTAGCTTTTTCAGGAAAAACTAAAATTTTATTTTCTATAACTTTAAATCGTTTCACAAAAATCCCAAAAGCACATTCAACTATTCTTCTGGCTCTTGATAATCGGTAGTTATAAATTCTTTTTTCATTTGTTAAATTTCTTCTTGGAAAAGGTCTCATTAAATTTGTGTGTAATGGATATGCTTCATCTCCAACAAATACATATGGAAATTTATCGTTGATTTGAGGGTGTATTTTTCTTGATTTCGGGATATATAATTTATTATTTTTTAATAATTATCCGAAATCGGATTCTTTAAAAATACCACTATCACTGTTTCGTCCATAATCACCAATATCTACAGCTATGAATTTGGCATTAGCATCAACAATAGCTTGAAGTACAATTGAATGAAATTCCTTATAATTATAATTTTCTGAACAAGCATTAGGAGAGCATTGTATTGATATGTGTTTGCCGTCGATTGCGCCAAGACAATTCGGAAAGTTCCACAGTTCTTTAAAAGTTTTTGCTACTTTTACCCAATGTTCGGTTTTAGGTGGTGGCATGTAAGTAGGAAATAAAATATCCCATATTGCACAACAAACTTCACTTATAATTTTTCCTATAGTTGAAGCGCCAAGACGAAAGTGATAATGTAAGCGTTTAAAGTGCCCACCGGAAGCTAAATAGCTGAAAAATAATAATTATTTATTCTACTACTATTTTGTAGTATTAAAATTTGAATATTTTTTAAAAGTTTTTAACTAAAAAATAATTCAATAAATATAATTAATATTTGAATATATTTTTTAGTGGCAGAATTTAAGAGTAAATGGGCTTCACTTCGTAATAGTTTTGCAAGATCATAACGCGAAGAAAAATCAAAAAAATCTGGTTCTGCTACTTCGAAAAAAGAAAAGTAGTATTTATTCAATGAAATGTCATTTTTATCAAATTTTATGATGCAACATAATCAAACATTAAGTAATTTGGATGCATCAGATAATGAAAGTGAGACATTTGGTGAAAAAAATACTGAAAATCCAAATTTCAATGAGAACGATAATGAAATTGAAGACGAAGGTACTACTTCTTTGATTGGAAAATCAGAATCAGAAGTAATTTCTGAGCCTCTATTTAAAAAACCAAAAAAAAAAAGTTAACACTTCAGCTGCAGAACAAGTTGCAAGGCCTACGATCGACTTTTTACGCTCAAAAACAAATAAATCAGCTGCTGAAGATCCGGATTTATTATTTTTTAAAAGTCTTTTGCCAGATTTTAAAAAATTAAATGGAAAAAACCAGCGTCAATTTAAACAGTTTGTGTTGAAAAATTTAATTACCTACATCGACAATCAAGAAGCTCAAGAATCATTAGGTAATGATAAATCACTACATTATAATACTACATCAAATGTACCAGTAGGTGAACTCCAAACCTACAATTATACCTTCAGTCCACCTGAATTTTCATCATCAAACAGTTCAACATACTGACTTCTTATTTTAAATACTTAATACTTAACACATACATATTTTATATAAAAATAAAAAAGTTAATTTATAAATTTGTTTTGATACGTTTAATTAATAAATATTTCTAGTAGATATCTAATTATTTAGTATTGTTATTTTAACTCATTCAGCTCAAGGTTACTAACAATTTTTCAGCAGGAACTTTACTTTAACGAAACTTATTGTCTTGCGATCTTATGATCTCGCCGATTGCATTTAATATGAAGTCGAACGTTGTTGAACTCATGCGAGTGAAATTTTTGAATTTAATCTCGTCTTCACGTGATTCGGCCAAAAAATTTAAAATCGTATTATTTTCTAATCGTTTTTTGTTTATTTCATGCATCCAAATTTTGCGTTTTTTTTTTACAACTTTGACTATTTAATAAATATTGCCACATAAACGGCACAACGACGTCGTCTTCATCAGAACTCATCTTGACGACTGGTATTTAATAACAAAAATGAATCTAGAATTATTGTGTCTTGTTCTGTTCTGTTTTGTTAGTGTGAATGGAATTTGTTCCGAGCTGTTTGGAACAAAATGTTTCACGCAGCTCGAAGCAGTTTTGCTCTTTAAGTGTGCGCCCAGCCTTAGACGTGTAGAGGAAATGTAATATTGTTTAATTTTTAATTTCGACCAGTTTATTTCAAAGTACATTTTTATTCGTAATCGATTAACAATATATCTGTATATATAAAAATTTCGTGTCACGATGTATGTTCGCGATAATCTCCGAAACTACTGGACCGATTTTGATGAAATTTTTTACACCGTGTGTAATTTGGTCCAACTTAAAATATAGGATAGTTTTTTTTTTCAAATTTTTTAATATTTTAAATATTTTAATTAACTTTTTAATAAATGTGTATAATTGCATGGTGTATTTCGGGTTTTCCCGTGACCGACCGCAAGTATCTATATAGCTACCTGTAATCTGACCTTTTTTCTATTGTGTGTGTTTTATCGTCGTCGGCGTGTAGATATGAATTTATAGTAATATAAGTATATTTTAGTATAAGTATAGTATTTTAGTATATAATATAAGTAATATAGTATAATTTATATATATAATGTTATAGAATTTTCGAGAAATGTTCAAAGGTATAAAATGCGAAGTTCGGTACGACGTAAATTCAGAAAATATATATGTTGGTTTGTACTTAATTTCAACATTTAGATACTTTACCTATTACTTTTAAATTTTCTCATACATAATAACACTAATACATGGCCTACGAAAATGCCAAAAAACCAACTAATACGCGGGCAACGCCGTGTCGGGACAGCTAGTATAATATATTTTATTTTACAAAAGGATTTTTAAATATTATATTGCCGGCCATTAATAGTCTTCTTCAGTAACGTATACATAACTTTTGTATGGGGGGGGGGGGGGTGATGATTTACAAACAAATTATACTTTTTATTTTATTATTATTTTTTTTTTTTTTGACGTTTCTAACGCCCTCACACTAAGAATATTATTTTATAACATTTAAAAAAAGGCCTAGGGGGAACTGACCCCCACACCCCACCTTATATACACCACTAGTCCTCTTAGTATATTAAAAATTATATAAAAAGTATATTACTCAATAATTTGTTTGTTTTGTCCCGGCTTCGCCTTATAAATTTATGGCAACCCTAGGCTAAGCTCATATCGTATCATATTAGTATTATTACTTTTTTTTATCACCTAAATGACCTAGGCACCGTATATATCAAAATGCTCTTCAAAATTTACCGCCCGGGGCCTAAGCCCTCCCTGCCCCCCCTAAATATGTCTCTGAAGCTCCATATCACCTCTCTCACAAAAAATGTAATTGAAGCTGAAATTTTGACCGGATATACTAAATGAGAAAAAATATTTTTACCGAAAATACCATTATACCCCAACAATTCTCATGTTCAGTATCCAATAAAAGTTTGTTTTGAAATGACAATTAATATAGTGCAAGATCAGACTTTAACTTTTTGTGGTATAGATTAGGAAAATAAATGTTATTCACATGGATAATTGTAGAGAATATTTTATAGAGTCTGACCATTTATATGTTTTATACCATAGAATAAAACTCTGAATGTAGTATACCAAGAGGTTTTTAGGTAATTTTAGAATAAAGTAACTCAGTATAGAATCATTTGTAAATATTCATAAATATAAATAAATAACTAAACAAATTAAAATTATTATTAAAGAATCATTTTTAATAATATGTGCATATAATCATTAGAATAATTTGTAAGTATTATTAATATTGTTATTATTTTTGTTTATTTATTTATTTTTTTTTATTTATTTAAGTAAAATATTTATTTTTTTTTTTAAACACAACAAAGTATGTTGATTTAAGAATTAAATTTAAACACGGACAAAGCTGGGTAATTCAACTAATGTAATATATTTTTTAAAGATATATTATACATACGGTATTTGCATTATGCATGGTTATATTAAAACCACGTGGTAAATTGTAATTTATTTTTAATTTACACATCGTACAGATATAAAGTAACAAAGTTTTTGAAATCTAATAATTTTTATTTTGTTCAGTGAAGAAGAAAAATTATATATATATATCAATTAAATACTATCAATCATGTATATTTGCGAATTTTATTAAGATTAAGTATTACAACAAATGTTTAAACTAAAGAAGAAAAATATAACATTAATTGTTTTTTATTTAACTTTAGAAAAATATCTTCATAAACTAAATCTGAAATTATATTTTCAGTCTAGACTACAATATACAAATATATATACCACCCACATGTTAAACTCGATATTTAGACTTCAAGTCTTTTATTAAATCTTTTATTTAGACTTTAGTAAAATATTATAATATCCAGTATATTATTTTTATTATTTTAAATTAAAGAACCAATATATTACTTCAAAACTGAGTTTAGAATAAAGTTAAATAATAATTTAATAAAATAGAAAAATGCAATATAAAAAAAACGATATTCCTACAGTGAAAAGTTTAATATTACAAATTTGCTAAGTTTATAAGAAATCATTTAACGATAATTTTATAACACTAATTTTTTATTTTACCATGCATTTGAATATTTTTAATAGAATATTTATTTTCTATTTCATCATAAAATTAACAGATGGTATTATATTAAAATATAAGCTAACAATTAATTGAATGAATCATTATGAGCGTTAACCTTTACAATCTATAAATGTTAACTGTAGTATGTGATAAAACTATACCAATATTAGTATAAAGTCAAATATACCCTTCCCACTTTTTCAAGATAAATCGATACGATTACTCGATCGACATTTAGAAACAAACATTTTAAATCTAGTAAACTCAAGGGCACGTCACGTTTTGGTTTTCACATAAAAATTCTAATTAAATCTGTTATATAATTTATTCGATTTTTGGATATTTGTAACTATGATTTCACAGGTAATATACATTTTGTTTGACTACATCAGTTTAAGTGTATTTATAATTTCTGTAATTACCTACTATTTTTCAACGTCTTCTTACGATAAATGGTTAAAATTGAATGTACCTCATATCCGGCCAGTACCACTGTTCGGAAATACATTAAAATTGTCCATGAAATTAGAGCATCAAGTTGACACGTTCGACAGAATTTACAAACAATTTCCGGACGAAAAATATTGTGGATTATACAAAATGAAGACGCCCTATTTAATGATACGTGATCCTGAATTGATCAATAAAATAATTGTAAAAGATTTTTCGTATTTCACCGATCGTGGTTTTGATGGTGTCTATACGGACCCCGCAATCAACGTAATGGCCAACAGCCTATTATTTTTGAAAGGCCAGAAATGGAGAATGATGAGACAAAAACTGAAATCTGGGTTTACGCCTAATAAAATAATATCTATGCACGATAAGATTAACGAATGTGCCGAACACTTGATGAAGAATATTGACGAAAAATTAAAGCACACCGATCAAATTCAAGTGAAACAGGCCATGGGTAATTATTCCACTGATGTAATTGGCACATGTGTATTCGGTTTGAAATTGGACACAATTAAAAATGACAACTCGGAATTCCGTAAACATGCTAAGAAAATTTTTCATCAGAGTCGCTTTAAACTATTTTTAATTCAAATACTACAAACAATCAGTCTAAAACTGGTAAAGAGTTTAAAATTACAACTTTTCCCACGAGATTCGACAACATTTTTTTATTCAGTATTCAAAAGTGTTATCAACCACAGAGAAGAAAATAACGTGGTTAAAAATGATTTAACACAAATATTAGTTGAAGCAAAGAAAGAATTACTATTTAATGATAACTTAACAGACAAAAGTAAGACATAATTTGGATACGAAACTCATTGATATACACTTAAGTAGTTATTATTATATTATAAATGTTATAATTGTTAATAAAGTAATAAAATATAAAACTAAAATTAAAAATTACTGAATGGTCAATACTCGAATATTAATATAAAAATAAATAAATGATTTATACATAGAAATAAATAAATTATTAGATTTGTACGACCGATTTCGAATACTTGATTCTCGATTTTATTGACTTTTTATATACTTGACGATGAATTTTTAATTTAAAATCTTTTGTACTTCGGAAATATAATAATACTTCAGTCTGAGCATTTATTTATTTATTTCTAAATATAACTATTTATTTATTTATATATTACAATTGTTATAGAGAATACTTCATGACAATAAAACGGAATTTGAATTTTATTTTTACAGATAAATTTATGGAATCGGATATCATCGGTAATGCTATTCTTTTCTTTGTCTCTGGTTCAGGAACTGTAACTTCAACATTAGCTTTATGTTTTTATGAATTAGCGTTAAATAAACATGTCCAAGACAAATTACGCAAAGAAATAAATACGAATATCGAAAAACATGGTGCACAGTTAAACAATAATTTTATTATGGATCTCCACTACGCCAATATGGTCTTAAATGGTAAGAACTAATAACTAATAAATAAAAATTTGCATAATATATCTATGTATTTGTTATTATTATTTTGAAAAATCCATTGTCCAAGGCTCAAAAAACTTCTCTCGTGTTATCAGTGCTCAAAATGGAAAATTTTCTGAACCGGATCTCTTTTTTTAATACATACCATAGAATTAGGGGCTTTAACCCACCAAAATTATAATTTTTCCTTCCTGAAATACTAAGTCTTTTTTATTACATAAGTTGTACCTACTATTTTATACTGTTTTAGTTAAAATTATATTTTAGAAAATCATTTTTTTTCATCTCTGATGCTAGTAAAGTGCTAAAAAGAGTGCTAAATCCACAGACGTTTTATCAGAATGTAAAATGATTCCCTTATTCATCCATTTAATACTTGTTAATTTGTTATCTAAATAAATAGGTAAATAAAAGGTTTCCAACCCGGGTGCTGCGACACCCAAGGGTACCGCGAGATTAAATTTAAGGTGCCGCAAAAATTTTTGAAATATATATTTATTTTTAAACGCCTTCATGAAAAATATAGCACTGTGAGTAATAAACAGACTATACTCTATGTCTATAGTATAAAACCTATTGTGTATAATTAATTAGGTATATACAATATAATTTAATGAATTAATTATTAACACATATAATATTTACATAGTAATACCATTGATTATAAATAGTATATATAGCTCACTGCAACACAAAATGCGCGGCTCGTTAAATGGCGGGTGTCACTACGAGGCGCTCCACGCAGTTATTAGTTTTGGCGGGTGTTATAATCGCTAGTAGTTTACAAAAGTGGGGACTGCCATTTGGGTTGCTCCCATTTTAATAATAGATAGGCCTATTTTATGTTTAATACCTAAATATAATAAAAATTGTCTATAATTTACCTATACAGGTCATACTATTAAATTTTCATTGGAAAAAGGTTATGACTATTATAAGCATGTTACATTTTAAAATACAAATAAGCAATGTAATATTATATAAATTAGCCATATAGTAATCACATATTCACATTAACATATTAATTATTTTAAATACAATATAAATAGGTACTCACATAGATTGTAAATAGTATTTAAATAAATACTATTAATAATCAATGGTACAAACTAAATTGAAAAATAAAGGGAATATGGATTTACCAATTTATTTTATTGTTTGGCTAATGTGTGTAGTTTTCTCAATGCCCCTCTCGACCACCAAGACCATTGTCGTAGTTTATTTTTGAACGAATTAAAATATTTTGTTACTATTTTTAAGGTATTTAATGTTTGTCTTGGTACAAAATAAATGATTAATACAGCCAACACTCAACAGCCATCGGCTAATGGTTGAATTTGTGTATATTTAATTCGATAACCGTTTACTGCCTTGTGTTTTTCAAATTGTTTGATTTAAAATAAATTATATTTAAAAAAAAAAAAAATGTAGGAGATAAATGTGTGTATTTTGAATGTAATTTAACAAGAAGGTCATCGAAAAATGTGTACAAAAAACTTGTAAATCTACAAAACAACAGCCTAAATTGAGAATACTACAAAACAAATAATTAATTGTAATATATTGTGATACTAAAAAAAAAAAATGTTTTAAATGTTTTAATATTTATTTAATTATGTTTTCATGATAATTTAAGTATATTTCGAAATAGTAAGTAGTTATGACTAGTTATGAGTATGTAGAATATTAATATTTAAATTCAATTTAATATCAAAACTATCAACACACCTTTAATTAAAACTGGTTACAACGTGCTATTACGTGTGTACAGTGTGTTACGACAGTGACAAAACAATGCGGGTCCTCACTATAACAAATGCCAATACCATTGATTATAAATAGTACTATTTACGTCTCACCGAGGACCGACCGCCGACGTTTAGCAACGATTAAAAATAATATTTTATTCCATTATAATTGACAAAATTCCTTATCACCCTCTATCGGCAAAAGTTTCTTACGCAGCATATTTTGTATTGCAGTGAGCTATCTATACTATTTATAATCAATGGTAATACTGAGATGTTCAATCTATATTAATTTTCATACTGGTTCGATTGCTATCGATTTGATGTGAACAGTTAAAGTTATTTACGGTGAAATACTTGTGACTTTATCTTATCTTTATTGTTTATTAATGTTAAATAAAACCGAAGTCACATAATATAAATTTAAATATACGATATATTAGTGTTGGGTATTCAGTATAAACTATAGAGTTTAGGGTGTTTCCAAATTTTTATAAAATAATAAAGGGTGCCGTGAGTCAAAAAAGGTTGGGAACCTCTGCGAAAATCATCAAAAGGCCTTTGAATTTTTACAGTTTCATAAATAATTCTAAAAACTAGAACAAGGTTTGGAAAATAGAAGTCATGTCAACAACGCATAATCCAAAATGTGTTATATTTTTACAAATCAAACAACTTAATGCTTTATTTTTAACTTTTAAAATTCACATACGTATTGTGTAAAGCTAAAATACACTATCGGCGGACGGCGATTATCCTATAATAAATGTACTTATGCATCGCGGTCGTTTGACGTTTATTAAATATTTTACAATAAACAATTCTGTAAAATGTTTAAATTTTACCAAATATGGTAGGTACACTAAAAATTTGTTTGAACCGGAATGATAAACGTATTTTTTTTACGAACCGGAACGCTAAAAAATTTTTTTTCGTGAACCGGATCTGCGTTCCGGTCCATTTCGAGCCCTGCATATTATTTGCTTTATTTACCTACGTTATCTAGTATTTTTTTATTCTACTAAAACTATTTTTTACTCTGAATTATGATCAGTTTATTTTATTTGAATTGACTAATTTTTTAAAATAATGTATATTGAATATTACAATACCTATAGCAAACTTTTTTATTTATTAAATATTTACCAAAATTAATATTAAATCTTAAAGCTAATTTTTATTTTACTTTTTATTATTTTATTAATAATAATAGTTACTTTATGTATGTATATTGATCATTTTATGTTATGTATCTACAGCATATAACTTGGAAATTTTAGTACATATAACTCATGTATTAATATAAAATTTTATTTAGAGACTGCTCGCATGTACTCTATCACTTGTGTCTTGTTGAGAGAAGCAACAAAAATGTATAATGTACCTGATGAACCAATAATTATTGAAAAGGGGCAGAAAATTATAATACCATTATACAATATACACAATGACCCTAAGTATTATCCTGATCCTCAAATTTTTAACCCGGAAAGGTTTTCTACAGAACAAAACTTTAAAAGAATGAATGGCACTTTTATTCCATTTGGTGACGGACCTCGAATGTGTTTAGGTAAGTATAATAAATATATTGTCAATAGATATCTGTAATATATTAATATCTATAATAACATTGTTTAATGAAATTTTACAGGAAAACGTTTAGCTGAAATAGAAATGCTATTAATTTTATCAAAGGTTTTAACAAAATATGAAATTTTACCATGTGAAAAAACTGAAATACCTCTTGACATTAAGAATGGATCGGGTTTCATTTCCTCAAAAAATGAAATTTGGTTAAATTTTAAATTAATCGCATAAAATGTATTTAACACATTCAACATGTTTTAATGTTAAGCCCTAAAAATTTATAAGTAATAAACACAATTTTTAGTTATGTTATTTGTATTTTTGTATTGCAATTTTGTTTTTGTAAAACCATAACAATTTACTTCATTAATAAACTACAGTATTACATACCTTTAAGTATGTTTTTATATAAAATTAAACTATATTTTTCAAGATAATCACAAATAGTGATGTATTCTAATGTATCATTGTTTTTATAACTGCAATTTGGTTCCATATAATTAAACTACTCAAAGACAGTTGCTATAATTGCAAACAACAGCTAAATGTACCCAACTGTGAAATTATTTATTTTTATTTTTCAATAGTTAATATATTTTAAATGAGTCTATACTGTACCTATTTATAGAATTATAAATAAATAATTAATATCGTTAAATTGGTGTTATTTAAAATATCGGAACAAATCTAGTTTAGTGCCCGTTCGAATTTTTCTTTTTTTTTTTTTTTAAGGGGGAGAACGAAGTAAAACAACGTTTTTAAAATATTGGAACTAAAATAAATTGTCGGAAATCATTAATTTTTGAGTTATACAATTGTGAAAATTAAGAATTTTCAATGATATCGTATAGACACACATAAATAGATAATATTCCATAATTATGTAAATCATCTCGTGGTCCAGTGGTTAATAATCGATAGTCTGATGCAGAATATTTCTGCTGCAAATTTCAATTAGTAAGTGAATGTTTGCATTTTTTTCCGAAAAAACAGAACATCAATTTTTAAAATTTTAGGACTTTGCTCGCTACGCTTGCCGGCTCCAATCGCAAACTCGAGAGCCACTGTGTAACCTGCGTGGCACTTTTGTGGGGATGGGACTTCGCCCCAAAGAAAATTATAGTCTAAGCTTAACTTTGCAATATTTTTTTTTTTTTTTGTTTAGCTAAAAATCAAGTCTAATAAAAAAAACGTTAAACTCAATTGTAAAATCTAAATTATAAAATTTAGTCTAATGAGGTTTTATTAATAAAACGTAATAAATATTATCTTAATTTTTATTATTGTGTACAAATATAATATTCTAAAAACAAAAAAAAAATTGTTCATTACCTAGTAATGTAACTTGCATGAGGAACTTTGTATTACATTTTCAATACTTTTTGTCCAACAAAATAATTTTATCAATATTTAAAAAATTTATATATATATATATATGTATATAAAATGTTCAACTATCTATAAATTGCAAAGAATTTTTTTTTTTTTTAATTATACCATCTATAGAGTAAAATGATAAAAACTTAAAATTTTAAGATCCAACAATAACTGTTATTTGAATTACGAATTATTTATTAAAAATATGTCATAAATTTTGTTGTTTTTTATAACTTTTTGTTAGTTTTTACAATTTTTAAAAAAATTGTTGGTAAATTTATAAAATTACCTTTATCAAAAATCCAACATTTTCTATTAGTAACCTCTTATACTTTTGTATACATTTATATAAATAGATATTTTAATATTTAAAAAAATAAAACAAAAATAATTTTTAATATTAAACTGCTTTTGAATACAATACTTTATTTTATATAATACATTTACTTTCTTTTATATAATTTAATAGTTATACATGTGACACATAGCAACTATTAAACATAATTATAATTATTAAGTAAGAAAAAAGGTCACAGTACCAATAACTAAAACTAATTTTTATTTGTTTAGAAATACTAAACCAGTTGCCCTTTAATTATTTTAAAATACCTACTTTTCTTCTCCAAGTTCCTACCCATTTTAGATACTTTAAATAGATTGATGTAAGATATCATATTTACAATGTTCACTCTGTCAAGTGATGCTCGAAATACCTACTAATTACCAATAAATTATCTAAATACTTACTTCATAAATCATTACATCATACTCTCATTAAGTGAACTTTACTGTATACTTACCATTACTTTTTATTATTTCCTTTTTTTTTTTTAGAGAAAGTTTAAATAAATGTATTAATATACTTAAATTTATACAAAACTACTATTTATTAAGTAGTATTTACTATTATATTATGCATCAAGTATGTACTAATGTACAACCCATTCATTTTTAGATTTATGTACTTGAATACTTGAATATTTATCATATTATTAATGATTATTGATTAATTAGCACAATATATTAGAGTTTAACAGTTTCCCTTACTAATAGTACTTTCATTATTAAACAGTGACTACACATGATAAATCCTTTAAATTGTAATAAGTTATTTCATCTATCTGTTACACAACTTTTCATTGCTGTAATAATACTTAATAGTTGAGTAAATGTGTCGTTTTTTTGTATTTAAAAATAATTAATTAATAGTAATATTTACTGTTCTGTCTGGAGTTAAATCTTTATCACGTTTCTTTTTTGCTTTTTTACTACTTCTCTTTACTTTTTTTTGTTTTTTTGACCTTTTTATTCGGATTGCATTATCTTTGTCCAGTGCATTTTGTAAAGTTTCCAGTTCTACTCTTAATTGTACATCAACAATCTAAATCAAATGTGATAAGCATACATCTATTTAAAACAGTTTATCAATAAATTTATGTACTATACGACCAAGGTATACCTTTCTAAGTTCTCTTTCTACTTCAGCAATTTTTTGAGTCTTAACTATACTTTCAATGTGTTTTTGGCTTGAATTTTTAGTTTCATCCATTCCTTTCCATACTTCTTCATATTCTGAACAAGCTAACATGAGCTCTTGCAAAAAATTTGAAGGTTCCATTTTAAAACATGCATCTTCCTCATCATTTTTTTTTTTTATTTCTTCTTTAGATTCTTTTCCAGCAATAGATTTGCTTTTATGACCTAAAAAATGTTAATATTTTTATAATTTTTTATGAATTATATCTAAGAATTAAATTAATCAACTTACTCTTGGTTCCTTTAGATGATGATTGGCTAGTTGATTTACTCAGAGAACTTGCTGTCTTATACCTGGTATAAATTACAGCAGATCCACCACTTTCCTCAGATGGTAAATCAGGAAATTTTCCTGTTTGTGATTTAACACCCATGTACCATGATCGAACTTCATCTCTAATATCTTCTTTCATTTTTTCTTTCACATGGTCTCTAATCTTTTAAATTTATTATTTTATTTACACTTAAATTTAATTAAATTAATTATTAAAATGACTACTTTATCTTTTTCTTGTATTAATGCTAGTTCATATTCCTTTTGTCGTTTTTCTTGTATAATTCTTCTAGTACTTTTAACTTCTTCAGCTTTTTGTTGTTCTTCAATATCAATAGTGTTTGGAGGTAACATACCAATTAACAACATTTCTTCTACTACTCTAATTCTTATTTTTCTTCTTGTTATAAAACCACGCCAAACCCTTTGGATTTTCATTGCTGCTTTTCTTGCATTATCACTAATTTCTATGTCTGCAGCATCTGGTTTGTTCATTGCTCTAACTTCTTTCATGAATTGAGCTCTCATTCGGCCTTGTCGTGCCCTTTCGTGTCTTTGTATTAATAATATTGCTTGTCGATTTGGCATATCAACTTCAACTTTTTCTTCTTCGTAAAAACCAGTTTTCTTTAATACATGATCAATGAAATTACTCTGCCATTCAATTGTTTTAGACCGTTCATTTCGATAATGTAATGGTATAGTCAATTCTACATCTTGCGGTAACAACCTCAGTTGCGCTATAGCTGAATCCAAATAAGTGAATTCATTAAAGTTTAAATTGACCATATCATTTTTTAATTCTAAATAACGTCCTAAGCATAATTCAAGAATGTTTCTAATAAGTATACGTTTTTGAGGTTGAATAACTTGATCATAACACTCATCTAATTTATTGATGGCAGATATATAATTGACCATGATTAAAGACAATTCTTTGAATACAACAACCTTATCTTTATTTATTTTAGATGTAAGAAGATTTGAGTCGTTTTTGGTAGCTTCATCAAGTGTAAATTGAGCTTCTATCCACAATTCATTAAATGTTCTGTAAGACATGACTTCTATAATGAACAAACACATTTATTTCTGAGATGCCATTAGTGAATTTCTTCCACAAGATTTTCGTGTAAACTATATATTAATTGAACACAATATTTGTCTATTATTTTAAATAATAGATAGTGAATAATTCTTTTAAATAAAAATAATTTAAAAAAAGATATAACTTAAACATTAAATAAAAATGAACTATTGAATAATTATAAAAATATTAATAATTTTGTATTACAAGCCCAATAGGTGCCATGTTTAATCAATAATACTGTAACCATGACATGTCAGTCAACCATAATGTTGGAGCATTATGAAATCTAAGTATTGAAGATTATTAGGATGTTTTTTTTCAAATATTCAAATCCAAAAAGTAATATTAAATATTATATTTTGCAATGTTTATCAGGTAGGAAATATATGTAACAAAGCAAAATCAATATCTATTTTTTATTTCTTTACATAATCAAATATAGCTAAATTATATTTAATTACAATCTTTATCAAGCCCAAGGTCACTAATAAAAGCTTCAGGGTTAGGATCGCGTCCTTTGAAACGTCTAAATATTTCTCCAGAAGGACAGCTACCACCAAATGCGAAAAATGTGTCTCGAAAACTGAAATTATTTAACAAAAATGTATAAAATTTAATAAAACAAGTAACATAAATATTTTACTTGAGGCCTGTATGTTTAACACTTTCATCAGGAACTTTAAATGATTGGAAAACATCAGCTGCTATTATTCTAGACCATAATGATGAATAATAACTTGCAGCTCCTTGTTCATTGGACATAACTTCATGAAACCTGCATGGGAAACTGTTCCACTTGCTAAGTGGAAATCCATAATAATCATTCCACATATCTTTCACCAGATCATTCCAATTTGTTTTACTAAAAGATACATACTTAAATTTAATTGAGTCACATCACAAATGTAAAAAAAAAAAATACCAATGATTCTACTCAAAAATGTTTAGTTCATTTAGCTCAACAATGACATACTAAATTTTTCTCACAAAGCAAGAAATTACTATTAAAACATTAAGATCTTGTATTTTAACTAAACAATAATACCACACATGTGAATAAATATTAAAAATAACAATTAAAATAATAATAAAATATTTTTTACCAATTGATTTTTAAAAATGGTATATATTAACTTACATAGTATGCATTTTAATGTCAAGCATACATTTATACAGTTCTTCACAAGTATTAAACCCGGCCATATGCTGTTTGAGTTCAGTTAATTGATCGTTCGGTAATCTTTTTCCAGTTTTGTAATGGCTATTAATACTGTCAAATATTTCTTTTTCATACAACCTAATAAAACATTAAGAAAAATAATTTAAATAAATATTAATCCCCAGATCTAACTATAAATTACCAATGAATCATGAAATTGCTGGTTATTCCAATAGCATCCCATTCAACATTACTTAAACCAGATACTTCAGAATAATGTACTTGACAAAGAATGTTTTGTAGTAAATGGCCAAACTAAAAACAGGATATTCAATAATACCTATAGTATCATTAATATTTAAATGAAAAATAAAATTACTTTTCCAAATAAGGTTTTCACTTGATTGAAATTTAATAAACTTGGATTTTTATTTTTTGCTGTTTGAAAATTCATAATTAGTGCTGATATAGGAAGTACTTTTTTTGGTACAGATGATGCAGGCCTATGTGTCACTATCCAACCAGGTTCACTAACAACTTTCATTTTTTGAGGTCTTAAAAATTAAAATCTTGATACTAGCACGTTTACCATATATTTAATAACTTATAGTACTAACCGTGAAGAGAGATCCAAATAAAATCCAGCCATAATAGTTGGTTCATTTTCATGTAATACTTCATAATATTTAACATCAGAGTGCCAAAGATTAGCTTTATTCGGTACTTCTAATATGCGGATACCATAGAGCTGTTCACATAAATTAAAAAGACCATCTAAAACTCGGTCTATTGGGAAATATTCAGACCATTCAACTTCATCATAACTAGAAAATGTAGTATACACATTTAAAACATTATGAGTAAAATATAAAAATATGCATACCCATAAAGTTCTTTTTTCTGTAATCTTGCCCAGTAATTAACATCCCACAATTGAATAGGATATTCATTTCCTTTTTTATTTGAAAATTCTTGTAATGATTCTATTTCTTGATCTTGTAATGGTCTTGCTGTGTATAATAATTTAAGAAGTATTAATTATTTATTAATATCTAAGTACAATTAAAAATAGTGTAATTTAAAATGCACATTTCTTTCTCTGTAAAATACAATATAAGTTGGCACAAATCAAAACATCTTGTTTCTTACTTTAACATCACCTACTAGGGTAGATAAAGTATAAGAGAGAAACTGACATCTACATCTAACAACTTTTATAAATTTTATATATTTAAAAGTAAATTAATTATACCTTTATCAAGAATTGTCATCAGTGTATTTTCTATTGCTGAAATAGAAGGAGCCATTTTGGTAATCAATGATAATTCACCATAATTTTTAAAACCCAATTTTTCAGCTGCTTCATCTCTATAAATTAAAATAAACCTGTTATAGTACACCTGTACACAAAATTAATATTTATAAAAACAAAATCAATAAAACCAAAAAATTATCAATAATAATAAATATTTCAATAAATTGATGAAATAGAATGAAATATAATACTATAGTCAAGTAATAATAATTTAAAATTTGATAATTGTAAAATTAAATGTAATCACAAAATATTATAATATTTTTAAAATTAAATTAAGATAAGTGTAGGATTAATAAAATAAAATTAATCTCAAAATATAAATAATTATAACTGCTAACTAATATTTAACTATATTACGGAGAAAACTGAAAAATAATAATTATAATTGAAATTATATTTCAATTATAATATTTCAATCTCAAGAGAAATACTATATGGTCATTTTGGAGCAGGTTTAGAACACAAAATGTTGATAAATAGAAAAATAAATACTATCATAATGAAGCTAATACATTCATTATTTTTCTAAAATCTAAAACTTAATTTATGTTTTATGTGATCAATAAATTATATTTATTATTTAAATTACATTATAAATAATTTTAAATAAAAATTTTAAATGCCATAAAAAATAGATAATTTAGTTTTTAAGACCATCATTACAAAAATTACATTTTAATTAAAAAAAAAAAAAAAAAAACATATAACACATATAAGAATAGTAAAAATGTAATTTTAATTCATTAAAAATTAAATATTTGTTTAAACCTTGCATTGATTATTGCCATAATCTAAATAAATGATCTTTGTGTACTAAATTGTATTTTCAAAACTGATTAATTATGCTTAAACCACCTACATATTCTACAACTTTAACTTTGTTATAATTTTTAAAGGTTGATTGGTGAAAATTACTTTTTAACATTAATAATTATTAAAAACAATAACTATTCAATTAATTTTATTTGTACACATCACTGCAAGTGTTTTGTTAATTAAGTTACATTAATATTAAATTTGCCTTAATTTTCGGATTTCTTCAACTTCTAAACCATTGTTAAGTTCTCTTGTTTCATCAGCAGGTGAAGCTGCTTTTTCATAAGCTTGCCATACATTCCAACGTATATCTCTGTCTGGACAATATTCAATAAACCTTTCTGCTGCACCCCAAGTTAAAGAAACTTTCCATGGACGTTTTTTTGGATTTTCTCTGTAAAATTAATTTAGCACTTTTAGTAATGATGTTTAGTTAAAAGACAGTTTAAATTTACTTATTAAGAGCCATTAAAGTCAGAAGGTCTTCTGGAAAATCTTTAACTAGTTGTGGGTTGTCAATTACATGCTGGAACTGACTCCAAGCCATCTAAAGAAAAAATATTTAAATTTTAAGACTTTGAAAGGCAATAAAAATTTTACTGTAAATGTAAACGGTTATTATAACTTTTGTGGTGATTGCAATACGGTGGTTGCAAAAAATAATGGTTTCAATAAGCTATGTACCATAATTATTTATTCCATAATCAACCCTATATGATGTTTCATTAACAATTTACTAAATTTAAAAATTAGAATCTATTGAATGAAGTGACAGAACTTAATAAGTTCTAAACAACTGCATTGAAAATTATCCAAAATATTCTTGTTGAAGATATTTAAAATAAAATAAATAGTGCTGCAATTATCAGTAATTATAAAAGGCTTAATTATTAGAGACTTATATAATATTATTATTTATTATATGATATCATTTTTTAAATTATTACATACAAATCTTAGAGAGCACATTTTTTAACAACCATGCAATCAAAATTAAAGCAATAACAAATAATCTAAATTGGAAAATCTTACTTCTAATCGAATTTTAAAGTATTTTTGTTTTATACTACATTTTTGCTTATTAGCTTTAAATGAATAATATAATTTTTCATTTAGTTCAAGGCCATTGAGTTTTCCTTCTTTGATAAATTTATTAACAACTGCTACTTGTTCTTCAGTTAATTTGGACAGCTCTGCTTTCTATACAGAATAAAATTAATCATTACTCAAACCTTGACATATAAGTCAAATTGAGTATAAAATACAAACTTTGCATGCTTCATAAATAGGTTTACTATTATATTTTGTTGAATGAGACATACAAGCTTTATTATGTAATGGATAATATATTCGAGCAGGCATTTTTGACAGATCTGCTAAATATAATGTTTTTAAAATAGACCATATTTGATCAAATTTATTGTTTAAAGTTTCAACTGGTTCTAATACATCTTTAAATAAATCATACTTTCCATCTTCAACTAAAATAGCAAATCAGTTTTAGGCATAAATATGGTTTTTTTTAATAATTATTATTCAAAACCATCTAACCTGAGTTCAAGTAATCTTCAATGTCACGTATACCACACTCAAAATCAATAAGTTGATTGTTCATAGTATTCTCACATTTCTTTATGTCCAAATCTGTAAAATTTGGATGGTCTGCATTTACTTGTACGAGTTGTTCAGTTACATCTTTACTTAATTCTGGTAACCTACAACAAAAATGTTGAAATATTTATAATATATATGTCAATAAATATCAAATGTACCATAGTTTTAACAATTATAACAGAAATAGTCAACAAAATTGTATGAAAGATTTACAGGATTTTTTATTAAAAGCTGTTCATCTACAATATGATTTAAGACAAATACCTAAAATATTAAGTTTAAATTCATTATTTAATAGAAATGGTACATTTTATATCACATTTATTTATGGCTTTAGATATAATAGAAAAAACACTATGTAACTTTGAAGGAATCACCTTCATAGTTTAAGAAGCTCCTAATAGATCTTTGTACATATTTAGTATATACACAAATTACGTCATAAATAGTCCAGTTATACAAACCATTAAATTATCAATAATTTGGAATATTTTTAACTATATTGAATTGTTATAGTAATTGTTATAAGTAATTGACATACCCAGGGCTGACAAGAGGGTGGGACAGGGTGGGCTACAGCCTTGGGGCTCATCATCTTAGCCTTTTAAACAATATTTGTATTGAACTAAAATATGTACAAGTAGTTTGTATAACATAGTCAAACAAGTGCAAGTAAAGGGGGCCTTGGAGCCCTCAAAAGTTCTCGCCAGCCCTGGACATACCACTAAAGATATTTGTTTATTATCATTGAAGTAGTTATTATAGCTAATATATTTTAAATGCAATATACACTTGTATATTTTAACATCAAATTGTGTAATTTTAAAAAAAGTAAAAAACTTAAAGGCTAGGGCTTCATCCATTAGGGTACCAAAAATAAGTTTTTATTAATATAAATATAAGTTCTATATACAAGTATCTCAAAAATTTAACATTTAAATGTTCACATAAATATATAATTAATAATTTTAAAAAAATGTCTTAAATCATAGATTAAGAAACATGTGTCAGTGTATCCTAAATCAACTAACAAAATATATATAATGGCACAGATACAATAAAGGTAATTTGATTTGATCACATTGAAACTTATACTTTTTGATTGGAATTATAGTGTCTAATCACAAATTAATAAAAGTAAATTATATTTCATCAATATTTTATGAACCACAATTTGAGATTTGTTTCATTAGTTTACTTACAATACAACATAACCATTTCGACTAGAAACTCTGGTGTGAATACAATTTTTGTGTTTTGGTAAAATATTTTGATATATTCTAGTACAACGTGAAACAAACAACATTTTTAATTATAAAATAAGTTGTGAGAAAGTATAATTAATATTAATCTGGTATAATGTTTATATATTCAATTAACAAAAAACAATGATCAAGTTAAAATTTACATTCAGTTTATTTTGAGTTAGTAACTACTAAATATTTTTTTTATGTTACTTTTAAATTAAAAAAATATGAACTTTCTTAATTTTTTATCAGTAAATACTATCAATATTCTTTTAAGGTTAGTATAATCACATCTATTCTGTGGTATAATGAAGTTATCGTGCATTAAGAAAATTTGTTATCAGGAGGTGTAGTTTATCAAAAAATAATTAAAATCATTGTAATAAATGATAGTATATTATAGTATTTATAATCAATGATTAAAATATAAAAAAAATATTACTTTAGATATTCATGGTTTGTTATTTGTAAATTATATATTATATAAAATGTTTGACAAAAAATTGTTAAATGCTTTTCCTCAAATATCACATACAAATTTAATAAATATATTGAAAGATTTGCCTGGACCTAAGGATTTAGTTGTTGAACATTTACTTTTCAAACCACTTGAGATTTTCATTGATATGAAAAGCTTAAGGTAAGAAAGGTGTAACATTTTAATTTTTAAAACAATTCATTATGTTTTGCTTTTTGTTATAGACTTTATGGTGTTGATAAAGTTTATAAATTACAAGAATCAATCAACCCAATTACCAATCAGCAGTGCATCTTTTTGGTTTCATCTAATTTAGCAGCAACAAAAATTATTTGTGATCTCATCAACTCTTGCTTAAGTATTTCAAGCTTAGCTAAAGATATTATAAAAGTCATTCTTGTTCCCAGGTCATTAATTGCTATTGAAAAACAATTTGAGGAAGAAGGTGTATTTGGTTATGTCGAAATATTTGAATTCCAGTGGGATTTCCTTCATTTAGGAGATTCATTACTGTCATTGGAGTTGATAGATTTCTACAAAAATGTATTTGTTAATGAAAATCAATCATTGCTATTACCTGTTGCTAAAGCCTTATGGACTGCTTTTATGGTTTTAGGGTTTCCTAAAACTGTTTGTATAAATGGAAAGTTTTCTACTGCTGTCTATAAATTATTAAATAGATATTTTAAAGAAAAAGGAAAGCCAAAGATCAATAATGAATCTTGTTTTTGTATTTTAGATAGAGATTTTGATTATGCAAGTGTTCTGTTAACTCCTTGTACATATGCTAGTCTATTAGATCAAGTAGTTGGTATTCAAAATGGTATTGTAGAAATAAAAAAAAATGATGGAACTATATCAATAAAGAATTTGTGTAACCCTGATGAAACTTATGAATATGTCAAATATAAACAGTTTGGTGATGTATTAAATTATTGGAAATCAAAATCTAAAGAATTACAAGATAAATTAGAAAAAAGCAAAAAATTACAGTTAGATGAAATGAAACAGTATGTCACTCAAGAATTACAAAATGTCTTAATAGCAAAGAAAAATCTTACCTTTCATATAGACGCATCGGAATTAGTCTCAAAAGTAATAGGTGATACATTTATAGATTACATAACAATTGAAAAAAACATGTTAGAAAACAGAAATCGTAAAGAAAATTTAAACAGTATTGAAGATTTAATGGCCTTTGGAAAAGGTAGTGCTAGTAATGTATTACAACTAATATGTTTATTTTCATTAACACAAGATGGGTTCACATCAATAGAATTAAATAACATAAAAATAAAATTTTTGCATCAATTTGGATTTCAGTATTTTGAAACATTTCATGTTTTAGAAAAATCAAATTTAATAATAAAACAAGATAATAATTCAATTTTACATAGTAATTTAAATAAAATTATTTCAATTAATAAAACTAAGCAAATGATGCAAAACATGATGCAAAAATTAAGAATTGCAGATGATAGTGAACATTGTATGAGTGCTGCATTTGGAGGGTCTTATGTGCCTGCTATAGGGAAATTAATTGAAATTATATGTAAAGAAGAAATGCCCGAAGAAGAAATAATTAAATTGCTATCAAATTATTCATTCCAAGTTAATGATTTTAAGACTGGCATAAAATCTGTATATGTGATGGTGATTGGAGGTATAACGTATGCTGAACAAGCTGCGCTTCATTTTTTAGAAAAATCAATGAATATAAAAATATTTATTTTCAGTACAAATATAATAAATGGAAATATATTAATAAATTCTTGTTTATAGTTTTTATAGTTATTTTTAACTACACTTATAGTAATTATTAAACTATGGTTTTTATTATTCCTTATTAGTGAATGAAATAATAATTAAAAAAAATAATTATTAATATAAACAATGATTATAAATACTAGTATATATAACTAGTATAAATACTAGTATTTGTAATCAATGATATAAAGTTATTATTCTTAATTTTACCCTCAAATTTATAATTTTTGAGATTATTTACTCATAGTTAGTATTTATTACTTATTTTGTGCAATATTTAGTTAATGTTTTAAAATTAAAAATTAAATTTTATGTTTTTTTATTGATTTGTCTAGAAATTATATGTTCATAAAAATCAATGTAAATATCTATTCTTGGTTTAAATAAGTGACATTATGTAAAACCTGATGATTATCATTATAAATATTAATTAAATCGCATTTCTCTCTATATAGCTTTGAAATTATAAACTATGTAGGAAAATACAGTTTATACAATCAACAATGGTACTGCATTATAATAGTACCTAGCCGATCTATTTAAACATTTTAACTTAAAATACTACATAGTATTACAACCTAAAATTAGGTACATATTATCCTCATTGATTGTATTTTTAAAGTTTATCATTGAATAGAAACTACATAACTAAATCATAGATTAGATAAAGTGTATTTTAGATATTATTTTATCATGCTATTTAATTAGGTATATATTATATTATACCACTATAATTATTTACTTTATTAGTGTAATATTATTTGTGCATTTAAAAGTAAAAATAAAATAATTTGATTATTTGTAAGTACAAGAATCAAATCAAATTATGAGGGAAAAAAAACGGCTATCTTAAGGTAGAGTAGGTACACAATAATAATACCAGGTCTGCATTAAAACACTGATACTAATTTACTAATCTACATTTAACTACTAAGAGACTTCAAAAGTATTTGTTACCATAGGCTTTAGTTTGTAATTATCATATTTTACATAGTTGGGTTGTACTCATATGAGTGTATAGACCTGTATTTCAGAGGGTGCCTACAATACTTTAAGACCCTGTCTTAACAAAACGTGTAGGAAGATATACTTAATAAATTATAACACTTAAATAAACATATAACTTTAAGTTCTTATTTAATATTGTGGTATATTAGTCCCAATGAATATGTTTTCTTTGAATGTCGTATATTTTTTCAAGTTGCTTCAATTTTTTATATGATTTGTACTTTTGTAGCCAATTGTGTGACAAATTAATAATTGTTTAAAGTTAATAGATAAAGATGTATCATGGCTTACTAAATTATTCAATAGAATATATGCTTCCAGGGACATACCTCAAATATAGCTAGAGGCTACATTTGTTACAATACCTAAAAACCAAATGCAAAATATTGTGACGATTTTCGTACTATCAGTCTTATGAGTCACTTATAAAACTTTTTTTAAAAATAATTCATCAGAGGATCTTTAGAATATGTAAAGAACAAATGAGCAACACACAATTTGGTATTAGAAATGCTATAGGCACAAGAGAAGATATTTTCAGCCTACAAGAATTATTCCAAAGAGTGTTCATTGTTTAAAAAAGGCGTTTGATAATGTTAAACATGACAAGCTTATAGAAATACTGGATAATGTTGGAGTGAATAAAGGAGATTTAAGAATTATAAGTAGGTAATCTATATTGGAATCAAAAAGCAGTCATATGTGATGGTGAACTCTCGGAGGATGTATTAATTAAGAGTGTAGTGAGGCAGGGTTGTGTTTTATCTCCTCTGTTATTTAATATATATTCGGGATTTATTTTCCGTGAAGCTCCAGAAGGAATTTATGATGGCATTAAGTTTATTGGGGAATGTTTAAATAACATTAGATATGTTGATGTACGGTAATTTTTACGAATAACATTGTGGAGTTACAATACTTAATGGACATAGTATTAGAAGTCAGCGAAATATATGGCTTGATTCTTAATACAAAGAAAACAAAATTTATGTTAATATCAAAAAATCATAACTTAGGAGGACATTTAATAATTAAAGATAAACATAAAGAACAGGTACAACGATTTAGGTACCTTGGAATAACAATAAATGAAGATTTGGATCATTCATTATAAATACAATTTAGAATTAAAAAAGCTAGGGAAACATTTCGAAAAATATCAAAGGTATTCAAGTGTCATGATTTGTCTTTTGCTACAAAAAATAAGACTGTTAAGGTGTTATGTGTTCTCTGTATTATTGTATGGAGTCGAAACCTGGATATTAATACATACTAAACATGCTAAAAAATCGAAGCCTTTGAAATTGTGATTGTATAGGCGTTAAAAATTTCATGGACAGATCGAGTTACTAACCAAAGGGTACTGGAAATGATGGGTAAACAAAAGGAATTATTAACTACAGTAAAAGCAAGAAAGTTTGAATAGGTACATTGGACAAATTATAAGAAATAATAAGTAAAAATGATATTAAAATATCCTACTCGAACATTAAAATTCAGTCAATGGCACTGACTTTAAAAGTACTACTTTAAAATATTTTTCACGCAAGGTATTGATCATTAAAAATCGCTTAAGATAACATATATAAGCCTAAAATTCATAGGTACACAGTTATATACTGTCAGCTGCCAAAATAAGTATTCCTAAAGCTAAGACTACCCCATTTGTAAGGTATTTATAAAATGTATTTAATATTTTTGATTTAGATGTACAAACATACAGATATACATATAAATATTTATAAAAATGTATACTTAACTTAGTAACGAATACTATGTATATCCAGGGCTTAAGTGGGAAAAGATGCAAGAGGAATCCTTGGGGGAGTGGAGGGAACGTCAAATGTTGTTGCACTAAGGCGTTATTAACAGTTAAGACGGTACTGAAATTTATATTTAAGTACTTAATAATTGTATGGGACTATATGGAACCCTAGCATACCTATAGATTAGAGTCCCCCATGCTCTTTTTTTCCACTTTATACCATGTGTATATTTTTGTATAGGTAGCATCGTATTCTCGTATTTTCTTCTTCTGTGGTAGCATGTTTCATGATAATAAATAATAGTATAATATATAATATAATAATAGTAATAATATTCCTATTCGCCTCTCCCCTCTTAAACAATCTTTAGATCCGCCATTGTACTTAAATACTAACCTATGATATATTATTTGATATTTCTGTTGATTATAAATTTTACTTTGTGATATTGTTATATATATATATTTTTATGTAATCCATTGTTTTATCTTATACTTATTTTAAGTACCATATGATATAATTCGTAAATATTTAATGATTACTTTATTATACGTTTATTAATTAAATATTCTCGTAAGTTTATACTTTGTAGGTAATTATTATTGATATCGAAACCATGGTGGATATAGCATCCGGAAAACTATTAAATATGTAAGGCTGCGTAAATAGTATGTAAATTTGTATCAGAGTTAATTTAGTGAGCCAAATTCAAACTTAACATAATTGTGATTTTTTTCCACTCAATATTATAGGTAGCGTAGATATATCATACAGCAGATAAAGTAAAAACAAAAAAAAAAAAAATAGGAAAATTACACAAAATGTAAGAAAATCTTTCAAATAGTGATGGGAATTGCAAATTCTTCATTAATAATATGAGGCAGATTTTTTTATACATCCCGTAGAAAAATGTGAAATGTTTGTTCTGGGGTTGGTCCGATAGATCTGAAGCCCAGACATACGCAATGTTTTGATGGTCACGCCCAGATTAATAGCAAACGGTGACATGACACGGTTCAACCACCTTCGAGTTTCAAGGTTACTTGACGAAAATATTTTCGTTTTGAAGCATAGCCATCGACGACTGGCTGGTATACCATTTTAGTAATAATAAAGTGCGCAAATGTCGATTTGAGATAAACCCACTCAAGTGCAAGGTTAATTCTTTATGCAAAATACACAATAATGGTAAAACAATTTACAAAGCCACTACTACTTATTATAGGTATAAATATGAGTACAACACTCATTTATACATCATGAAATAATATTTCATGATAAAATTGACTGGTATAATTAACTAATAAATAAAGGAGACACCAAGGACGAGCCAGATAGAGCCATGTTTCTACCTGAAAATGCCTAGCTTCACTAGTGACCCTTCCACTGTCCTAAACTTCAATAAGTCATAAGCAGAGTTATTTTTAAGCAGTTTTGTCGTAATACTGTAATCATTCAACATTTAAAAATATAGTGATTAACTCATAATAATTATTATTACTTTTTTTTTTTTTTTGCTGAAATCTCTTTTTTTTTTTGTCTACCTTATTATTATTGGGCTCCAATTGGTCCAACTTAAAAAATAAATCTCAGCGTCGTTTCTAACAATAACTATATTACGTTAAAAAGTATTTTTTAAAAAATAGTAGGTAAGAATTATTTTTATAAATGTTACAGTTAGTACAGTTAGGTATACAATTAAGAATAGTATTTACAATACGTTTTAAAAAGAAATATTTTCAACTCATAGCTATACATAATCTACTGCTCCATTTCAGAAAATCAAAACATTTCACTCATAGACTTAATTCGTTTCACTGCTGTTCGATATAACGAGTAATTCACTTTAAGAAATTGCACGTTGAAATTTTAGGAAAAGGATAATTATTTTTTTACAATTTTGGTCTACATTAATTGACCATGCATTGAGGTCGGAGAATCGGACTACATACCAACACTGTAAATATTCATGTTCCATGTCATTGGTAAATTTTGGTTGGCTACATCATATAAAATGTTGGACTGACTGCTAGTGACGCATGCGCACTACAAGATTACGCAGAAATACGTCATCGATTTGGTCTGGTGGTGAATAGGGTCGACGATCGAACGTCGTTCTTTCTTTCTAGAACAGTCGTCGACGAATCACTATATTTGTCGTCGAACATCATTTCATTGTTAATTCCATACGTCAAATTTCTCTTAACCACGTTATTTTCTGTAAGTACCAAGTTCACGGTTTTTCGTGATTCATTTGTTCATCAATTATATCATTTCATTTATATTTAATTTAGTTTAATTTATAATGTTTGCCCAAGGCTTACGTGTGATTAAGTCCGCCATATTGAATCCGGTTCACATTCGGTCCAATAATTGTCAACAGTTCCTTACCGAAAAAAATTCAATTATGTAAGTATATTTCTGTTATGTATTATTATTATTAATTAAATTAGTAAACCTAGTTCATATTTTATTTATTATATGCGTACTTGTTAGATCTAATGACTATGCAATATAATATATAGTATGTCGCATATAAACAACGTGGTATTGAGACTCATTAAACAATAAAGTTTTTTTTACAATATTTGATCAATTTATATATAATTTCTTATTTCCATCGTTATTTTATAGATAAGTTCTTGAAAATATCCAATTTACTGATCTTAACCTCAAATTATATTTTGAACCTTATTCTGTTTGAAAATAATAGCATTTTTTTTCCTGTCAATATTATTACTGACCCAATTATTTTTTTTAAGCGAAAATATTGCTCTAATAATTTTTACAATACCATGCACTTTCTACTTGAAATAATACATTAAATATGTAAGTGCTGCCCTCTGGTGTCACAAGTATACATCTCGAAATTTCACTTTAATTATTACATACATTGCATTATAAACTGAAGAATAGTTAACATTAATTTGATGATTAGTGTTATTATTGTTATATTAGAACAAGTTGTTGACTTTTTAAATATTAAAATTATGGTTTACGTTTAATGTAAACTATTATCTGAATTAAATGGATTGAATTAATATTTTTTATTCTATGTCTTATGCAAGAAATGGTGGAGGAAGAAGTAATGGTTCCTATGGAGGTGGTGGTGGAGGAGGTCAGCGGTATGGTGGTGGTGGTGGTCGTGGTGGGGGCATGGGTGGTGCCAAGAAAAATCCTGGTGCCAATTTGCAAGCTCCTAATTGGGACCGCGTCCAACTTCGACCATTTAAGAAAGAATTTTATGTTCCTCATCCTACTATAGAGAGAAGGTAAAATTGTTAACTCTTAATATATTATTTTTGGGAGTGTTAATTTTATATATTTGTAGATCTTATGAAGAAGTTGATAAATACAGAACAAGCAAGGATATCACTGTCATGAGTTCGGATAGAAGCCCTGTTCCTTACCCGATTCAACATTTTAAAGAAGCAAATTTTCCAGATTATGTTATGCAAGTCATACGGTAAGGATTCATATGAAGATATATGTAGAGAATTTCATTCTTGATTATTTTATTGGTTGATTTTAGTAATGAAGGCTTCACTGAACCTACTCCTATTCAAGCACAAGGTTGGCCTATTGCAATGAGTGGTAAAGATATGGTTGGAGTAGCCCAAACTGGTTCAGGGAAAACTCTAGGTGTAAGTTTTCATTCTATTCAATTTAAATATACACGATATACTTAACTGATAATTATTAATAATAAATTAAAATCTGTTTAGTATACTCTGCCTGCTGTAGTTCATATTAATAATCAAGAGCCATTGAAAAAAGGTGATGGTCCAATTGCTTTAGTCTTAGCTCCAACTAGAGAGTTAGCTCAGCAAATACAAAAGGTTGCTGGCTTGTTTAATCAATCCACATATTTAAGGTCAACTTGCATTTATGGTGGTGCTCCAAAATCTCATCAGGTATAAGATATACTTGAAATAAGGTAATAAGTTGATAACATTTATTTGTTCAATTTATTCATTCTTTTATTTCTCAGTGTACTAATAATCAGTTGTTTTGTTTTTGTTCATTGCAGGCCGCCATTTTGAAATTCGGTTTTGCAGAAATGGTTTTTTTTTCTATTATGAAATAATAACGTAACCTTAATTACGCACAGTGTCTTTGGACCATGACTAATATGTCGTGTTCATACATCTGGAGCGGCGCTGCAAACCGAATTAAAACAATTAATGTGTCAATTGGCGGCCATTTATTTGTCGGTTCAACATAATCGATACTTTTTCATCCTTCTACTCTCATCCTAGATTTACTTCCTTAGTCATCGAAAACTAAACCGTCAACATGTATCTTCATCGCAGCACTGAATAAACAGTAAGTTAAAACTTATTAGTTTTTCGAACGAGGAGTTCTCAGTGCCCAGCGATGAACAGCATTATGAAACTTTAAATTTCCTTTTAAAAAAAAATAAAAAACAAATGATTTAAATCTATTTCTAAATTATTATCAATTCTAATCTTATCAATTTGATTCATAGGCTAGAGATCTTATGAATGGTGTTGAAATTGTTATTGCGACACCTGGGCGCCTATTAGATTTTTTGGAATCTCGTGCTACTAATTTACAACGTTGTACCTACTTGGTTTTGGATGAAGCTGATCGTATGCTTGATATGGGTTTTGAACCTCAAATTAGGAAAATCATACAACAAATTCGAGTAAGTTTTTTTGTGTTAATATTTTATTTTTATTATTCAATCATATGATGATAGCAACAATTTTTATTATTCATTTCTTATCTTAATTTTAGCCTGACAGACAAGTATTGATGTGGTCTGCTACATGGCCTAAAGAAGTACAGAAATTAGCAAATGATTTCTTGAGTGATTATATTCAATTGAATGTTGGTTCATTGACATTGTCTGCCAATCACAATATTTTGCAAAATGTAGATGTATGTCAAGAACATGAAAAAGAAGACAAATTAATGGATCTTTTGCAAGATATCAGCAATATGGAAGAAAATAAAACAATTATCTTTGCAGAGACTAAACGCAAGGTGGATACAATTACACGCAAAATAACCAATATGGGGTATGTTACTATTTCATTTTATATTAGAATTGGTTATAAGGTTTTAAATATGATGATAATTTATTTAATATAAAGCATACACTGTGTTGTTTGATTTGTCCTCTAAGAAGATCTGATTTATATGCCTTAATTTTACTTATTATATTTAATAATTATTTCTTGTTTTATGATGATCATCTTATTGAAACATACTCTGTGTTGTTAAATTTTTCCTCTAAGAAGATCTGATACAATTTAAAGTTATTAATAGTTTTTAATTATTGTTTAGAAAATGTATAGATGAATTATTACAGTTATGTAAATTTTTAATATTATTTTAATTTTTTTAATTCTTAGAGCCAGGGCTGTTGGAATCCATGGTGACAAATCTCAATCTGAACGTGATCATGTATTAAAACGTATGTTAATATTGTATCTATTTTATCGTATAAACTAAATTTTGTATGTTTGTAATTGAATTTTTTTTGTCTTCTAGAATTTAGGAATGGAAGAGCCAATATCTTAGTTGCCACTGATGTTGCTGCTAGAGGTTTAGGTAATATTATTTAAATTGATAGTCATTCTTCAATTCTGAATCATAATTTTTAATTTTAGATGTTGATGATGTTAAATTTGTTATCAATTTTGACTACCCTAACAATTCTGAAGATTATATTCACAGAATCGGCAGAACTGGTAGGTCATCACAAAAAGGTACCTCTTATGCATTTTTCACTCATTCCAACAGCAAACAAGCGAAGGACCTCGTAGCTGTTCTTACTGAAGCCAATCAACGTATTGATCCTAAATTAGCTGCAATGGCTGCTCGTTCATTCCGTAAATAACATTATTTTCTTGTTATTATTTATTATTCCTGTCATTTAATTTATTTATAACATTTTAGCAAGCGGAGGTAACAAATGGTATGGTGGCGGTGGAAACCGATCTTGGGGAAATGGAGGTGGAGGAAGGCCTGCACACAGAAAGTTTTAAGTTCTCAACAACAGTATTCAAGAGTGTGTAATTAAATGATAAATTGTCGTTCTTAACTTGCTGGTTGAAAATGATTCTGTTTGATTGGTATTGTAAACAACTATTATTGTTCATTCCTCCTTATTCCATCCGTACAATTACAGCCGTTGTATTCAGAGATTTGACTTTGGAATTAATTAATATTAAATGAGTTTTCTATTCATTTTATTTTTTATTTATTTTTATAAATCCCTATCCTTAAAACATTTTTTGTGTTTTGGTGGTTTTCTATAGTTAAGACTAAATAATTTTTATTTTTGTTGTAATATTATAACTTAATTAAATATTAATTTACAATTACTACATTAATTGTATTTAAATTTTAAATTAAACGATTTCTGTATGAAATATGGATTGTAATTTAAGTTAGCATCATTAACTACTAATACTTGCTTTATTTGAATTGGATTTTTATTTAGAAATCTATTTTATCATTTGTTCTAATGTATCTAAATGTTCTCATTGTATATGAAATATTCACTAATCAGTTTACTGTTCGTATGTAACTTTGATTAATAATAAATAAATCCCTTCTACAATTTAGTTTCATAGTTGTAAATTAGATTAATTTTAATTAAATTTTTTTTTTATATATATAATAGTATATGCAACATGGCTTATAGTGTATTTTGTTCTTGTACAAGAATAAAATAAAACATTAGTTTTTAAATACTTAAATTTTTATTACATTATTGCCAATACATTATACTCAAATGTAAAATTTCCTATTTAAACCAATTGATTTTAATTCGTCATAATTTATTAATACAAATCTGTTCACATTTACTACTCTTGAGTGTACTAAGATATTATATTTTTTCCCTCTTGCGTATTATGTGGATTTTTCACTGTTTTCTTGTACCAAACCAATATTTCATCAACAGTTAATTAAAAAAAACGTTTTATACAGAAAATAACTGAAGTTTTATGAATTTTAACTCGAGAACTAGTTCTTTCTAGGGATAAGGTATTGAAAGAAAGTACTAATACTTCATATAAAATACAAATATTGTATTGGAACAAATGTATCGATTGAAATAGATATAATGAATCATTATGAACAGATTTTCTACTTTCACTTTAATGATGCCTGCTGCTTGTGAGAGATTTCATTGTTCAACCTTTTAGTTTTAAATTAAACACGAAACAATATCGTAATATATCTGGTGTTATTTTCATAATATTATATTTAACACGAATATTTTTTTTTTAAGAAAAATTTGTGTTAGTTAATTCTTGATGAGTAAAACAATAAATCTCGTTCAATAAAATAAAGTATTTAAATAATATAGAAATACAATAAAAGTTATTTTTAAATTTTATTAACAATTAAAATTAGAAAACAACAACTCAGGTAAAAGTAATACTCAATAGGTGTGCGTTGAAATAAAAATTCTTAATATATTTATCGATTAAGTTAACACTTTAAATGTAATATGTTACAAATTATTCAAAAAATAATTTAAATACCTACTTAAAAATTAAGTAAACTGCTGTGCTCAGTTCTTGTTTAGGAGACTGGAGAACTGTTAATACATTACGTGTATTACATAAAATAATATCGGATCATGGTATTACTAACAGCATTAATTTTATCTGTCTAAATAAATGGTTCATCCATAGCTCACTCTTTTTTGTTTCTTCATGGTGTTGTTTGAAAAATGTATCAATTTTCGTTATCCGTTTAATAGATCCTTTTCTTTGTTTTTTTTATTTTGCGTTTTGCTGCACCATTTTTTAAATTTTAAATCAATTAGAAATATAATTTATAAAATAAAATATTTAATTTAGTTTGTCGTCTATTTTTTTGTATTGACTCTGAACAATGACACACGAGATTACAAGAGTCATAAAATAATACATCTTACACAGTAAATACGTAGCGATATTTTAGTCGTGTAAATTCGTAGAGGTTTATATTATATATAAACTTTTCACATAATAATATACCTAGCCATCGGTGTGGAGTAAGGCCGATAAGCGATAACGAAAAACCACTGAAAATGGATAATTTTTATAAAAAAAATTTAGTCACCCTAAATTGTTTATTTTGCAGAAGTATAAATAATCAAATATGATATAATATTTATAAAAAACTGTGTGTGTGTGTTACCAGTACGCGCGCGGGAAGTAAAACTTCTTTTGAACGGTACACGTGAGTGAGTGAAAAAGAAAGAAAGGCATAGACTGGGGTAATGAGGATAATAAAGAAAGAAAAGAAACAATGTAAATTATATTTATTAGATTTTAAAAATCCGCCACCCTGCCGACCGTATGAAATCATCCCGAACGATCATTCCGTTTTTGACTAATTATTTATCTCATTATGATGTATTTAATATTATTGTTAGCATTCAATATTAATTATGACTATTTATTTATTGAGTTCTCTGTTTAATAATCCAACTAAAATTATCACTTAATGTTATACTTACAAGCAATGTTGGTATTATTTTCACCTTATCACATATTTTCACTTGTCACCAGATAATTTTTTTTCTACATTATTTCTTTTAATTTAGTTGTTTAAAAAACAAAAAACACTATATAAATCATAACTCCCTAACCAAAAGTCAGATAACGTTGATATCGGTACCAATCGATACAGCGCAAAGCCCTCTATAAGGTCCGACTGCAAAAAACGTTTCGTACAGTCTCGACACAAGACGCCGAATTTCATCACCAACCTACATACTATAAGAAAACTCAAGTTTCAGAAACGTGGAACAACACCTCGGGTTTTTCCGAAACAACTTAAAGGGGGGAGGGTAAAAAGTACCCCGACTATGGGAGGCTATTTAGAGGATCTAAAGACAAAATTTTTGGTGATAAAACGGTGTAACCAAGTTGAAACCGGACCAAGGTATACTTAAATCAAAAAAAAAGAGGGGGTAACTTTCGGTATGTTATACATGTGGCAGCCCACAACCCATAACCGTTTACAAAATACAGCTATGACAATCCGCGGCTGCACACACGGACATGTACGCGTTCGCGTTCGTACGGCCATCCGTTTGTACGGTCGCCCGTTCGCTTTTTTTTTCATCACTACTCATACACTCTGCGCTCTCACACGGACATGTACGCGTACGGCGATCGTACAGCCGCCCGTTTGCTTTTTTATTTCCTCACTACCCTGCGTAAAAAAGTTTCACTTCAATACTGTCGCTTAATGACACAACCCATGTTTACAAAATACAGCTACGACAATCCGCGGCTGCGCACAACGACATGTCCGTGTTTGCGTTCGTACGGCCGCCCGTTCGCTTTTTTTTTCCTTACTACCCTGCGTAAAGAAGTTTAACTTAAAAAAAAAATAAAAAATATTTACTATCATATGACCATTGAATTCTATATAAATGGAATGCTCACCAGTCATAAGACCAATGCAAACAAAACCGAGTTTTCTGTATGTTGCAGGCCCACTTAATAACTGGCGGCCCTTGTCCAAATTTTTTTAATCCCATTTTTTAATAGGTGCACTAATCTTCAACTTTAAACTATTAATATTTTTTGTAAGCGGCCCTTCACAAATTAAAAGGCTAAAAATTTTCACGGCCTACCGAGTTTTGCTTGGTAACTCACCGGGCCAATCCGGCCTTCGCCATAGATATAACGATTGAAAGTAGTTTCTCCACACTTCGGAGACTAAAAACCTGGCTTCATTCAATGATGACCGAAGATATACTATCAGCATTATGTCTAATTAATGTATATAATAAAGTAAATATTCTAGATCAAATAGATCATATTATTGATATTTTTACCAATTTTAAAAATAGATGACTTGAATTTGTGTTGTAAAAATTGTTGTTCCTTTTTGTTATAAGATTTTGTAAATTTATAACTTGCCTCTCCCCCTAACCAATTTGCAGATAGTAATTATATTATCTAGTATCTACAAAAAAAAAATGTAATTCACCATCCGCGAATTATCGTCCCTCAAGTCGTGCGCACCTAGGCTATAGCCTAGGTAGCTTAATCCTATATTCGGCCCTGATAAGGGGGGTGTGGTTGGGACTGATTTTATTTTTTACATATTTTGTGGGTCGAAACATAAGGTTGAGAGACGCTTATTTGACAGACAGATAGCAGTAGCAGTATATGTTTAGTTGTCGTTGAATAGTTTTTGGTTTCATATCTTCTCGTTAGATGGCGCATTCTTTTAAAACCGTTTACTGAATTCATTGTGCTCGGCGGTTTCGACAATTCACTTGAAATGCTCGCTCGCCGATTACATCAAGATGATTTGGTATTGAATCGAAAAACGGTTTATGTAATTGGAATATACAAAAACCTAATAAAGTCTGTCTAATGATGATGTGGATTAGACAAGTTACCTATTTGAAGGTTAGCAAAAAGTACATAAGTACTCAAAATTTGACATTATTTGGCAACTCCGGCTCCCTTTCAAGTCGAATAAATCTTTCGCCTTTTACTAAAGATTTCCGTGGGGGGGAGCAATTTAGGAGTCTAAAATTAAATTTTTGTATTGCCCGACCTACAGGTTGGGCTCAAATAGCCATTTAAAATTTATAACTTTACCATCTGGGATATCATACGATGATGTGTGTCGATCATCCATCCATACGCTAACGTCAACGAAGTAAGACAGAGAGGAGAGTATTATTAGTAAAATAGTCAGAGCGGCGTATGCCTGTTAAATAGTGTTAACTTTTAATTTTAATTCTTAGTGTATTATTTTCAGAGTGCTGAACAACATAATTATCATTTATTACTTTTTTAAAATTGATGACAATTACTTCAAACAGTTTTATAAACTTGTTACATAGGAAGAATACAATAATAGGTGAATAGAATAATTAATACTGATGTTTGATAGTTATGATTTATTATACTGTAATATAATGTTGGCAAATATAGTCTCTATTACTGGGAATCCGTTACAACATAGAAATTTATTAAGTGCGTAATATTCTACTCTTACATAAAAAACGTTTACAAAAAAAAAAAAAAAACGAATCACCATTACAAATATTACTGAACAGTAATGTCATAAGTAATTCTAACTTAAAAAATAGTTATCATTTACAATATTGTATGATATAACCAGTGTTCAATAACACTACGAACGCTTACACAATGAAACTTAGTAAATAAATAATAATATATTTCAAATTGAAATTAAGAATTACGAGTAAATAAATAATCCGTAAAAAACAAACATTCACGCAGACTCGCGATAATTAAATTCGAATTTCGTGATAGATTTACATTTAATCATCAAACACGAAATACCTATTATAATAGTGCAAATATGAATTTTGTAAAAATGAACAACCCTGTCTATTTAAGCAAAAGGATTTGTCGTTTTTTCTTATTTTTAATAACAATTGTAATTTTTAAATAGTCGAGACATATATTCACTTATTATACGCAGTTACTTATATAATATTATGTGTTTTAACACCATTGAAATTATAGGTATTGATGAATAGAGCAAAGGACAAACAGTTTTATGTATATATATATATATGATATTATATAATATTATATAAAAAACAATAGCATGAATAAAAGAAATGCACTTTAATGTAGAAACTTACAGAAGAACATTCAGTATTTATATGCGTTCAGTTCTAATTAAACGCCATTATTTTATCGACAAATTGGGTCACATAATAGCTTATACAAAAAAAAAAAAAAAAACAAATAATATGTTAACTTACACATTAATAATATAAACCTTAAATCTTTTCTTTGATCACTATTATAAAAAAAAAAAAAGAAAAAAAAAGAATAATAAAAAGAAAACATCTCAATAAAATAACAATATGATACACAATATGATTTAGTTGGAGAAAAAAAACCCGAGACATTTTATTGGTCGACATTATATTGCACCACTACGCAAAACTAGTAGCTTTCCGCATTAATAAATAAATAGAAATACGAATTTTTCATATCAGTCTTTCCATTTCCCCCAGATTTGTTAAAGATGTCACAGAAAAATATATCTAAAACATTTTCCTTTAATCGTTTTAAATAAATCCCTTAAAATCTAAATTAGGGAACATTGCGCTATACATCGTTTAACAAATATCACAGATCGAGTATTATTATTTTTACAATATAAATTAATAGACAAATAAAAATTAATATCATAATGTTAATTTTATCGAGTTTTATACAATTTACATGGACTTGTTATAAAAAATTGACCCTTGGCAAAAAGAAAAAAAGGAACTCATTCGAATTGTCTAAATATTCGTATAAAACACAATTTTTATACTTCTTTAAGACTAGTTTAAATATTTTATTTTAGGTTAGGAAGTAACCATATTTTGTCAATATATTATGCATTTCTTCTGGATGTTTCAAGTTTACTGTGCATTTCAAAAGAAAGTATTAGATTATAATAATAGATAATTAGCAATAAAGTTAACTTTATTAATTAAATTTGGAATGTGACTTCTTTTGCAATTAAACACTGGAAGAAAAAAAAAATTAGCCCCTAAATCCAAAAAATATGATAGAAGTCACAATCATTAAATATGAGTTTTATGTTTTGTTTATTGTTGGACTGTCTGAGGTTGACCGTAGTATGGATATCCTGCTTGTGGCACAGTGGTGTAGCCATTTGGGAACGCTTCTTGAGTAGCAGTTGGGGGACGGTTCTGTTGGAAGAACTTATGTGTCAGTAAAGGTTGAATGGAAGCATCACCAGCATTATTCATCATATACTGAGGTGGCAAGGTACTTGCATACATATCGGCCATATTGGAAAACTGGCGTTGTTGGTTATAGCGATTGGGTTGATAATTGGTGCGTGGATTATTAGTGTAGCCATTTTGACCGCGGTTATAGCCAACTGTGTTCTGA